AGAGATATCAGTCACACATACTGAGGGTGTGACGTAACAACTCATATACAGAGATATCAGTCCCATATACTGAGGGTGTGACGTAACAACTCATATACAGAGATATCAGTCCCATATACTGAGGGTGTGACGTAACAACTCATATACAGAGATATCAGTCCCATATATTGAGGGTGTGACGTAACAACTCATATACAGAGATATCAGTCCCATATACTGAGGGTGTGACGTAACAATTCATATACAGAGATATCAGTCCCATATACTGAGGGTGTGAGGTAACAACTCATATACAGAGATATCAGTCCCATATACTGAGGGTGTGACGTAACAACTCATATACAGAGATATCAGTCCCATATACTGAGGGTGTGACGTAACAACTCATATACAGAGGTATCAGTCCCATATACTGAGGGTGTGACGTCACAACTCATATACAGAGGTATCAGTCCCATATACTGAGGGTGTGACGTAACAACTCATATACAGAGATATCAGTCCCATATACTGAGGGTGCGACGTAACAACTCATATACAGAGATATCAGTCCCATATACTGAGGGTGTGACGTCACAACTCATATACAGAAATATCAGTCCCATATGCTGAGCGTGCGACGTAACAACTCATATACAGAGATATCAGTCCCATATACTGAGGGTGTGACGTAACAACTCATAGACAGAGATATCAATCCCATATACTGAGAGTGTGACGTCACAACTCATATACAGAGATATCAGTCCCATATACTGAGCGTGTGACGTCACAACTCATATACAGAGATATCAGTCCCATATGCTGAGCGTGCGACGTAACAACTCATATACAGAGATATCAATCCCATATACTGAGAGTGTGACGTCACAACTCATATACAGAGATATCAGTCCCATATACTGAGCGTGTGACGTCACAACTCATATACAGAGATATCAGTCCCACATACTGAGGGTGTGACGTAACAACTCATATACAGAGATATCAGTCCCACATACTGAGGGTGTGACGTAACAACTCATATACAGAGATATCAGTCCCATATACTGAGGGTGTGACGTAACAACTCATATACAGAGATATCAGTCCCATATACTGAGGGTGTAACGTAACAACTCATATACAAAGATATCAGTCCCATATACTGAGGGTGTGAGGTAACAACTCATATACAAAGATATCAGTCCCATATACTGAGGGTGTGAGGTAACAACTCATATACAGAGATATCAGTCCCATATAGTGAGGGTGTGACGTAACAACTCATATACAGAGATATCAGTCCCATATACTGAGGGTGTGACGTAACAACTCATATACAGAGATATCAGTCTCATATACTGAGGGTGTGACGTCACAACTCATATACAGAGATATCAGTCCCATATACTGAGGGTGTAACGTAACAACTCATATACAGAGATATCAGTCCCATATACTGAGGGTGTGACGTAACAACTCATATACAGAGATATCAGTCCCATATACTGAGGGTGTGACGTAACAACTCATATACAGAGATATCAGTCCCATATACTGAGGGTGTGACGTAACAACTCATATACAGAGATATAAGTCACACATACTGAGGGTGTGACGTAACAACTCATATGCAGAGATATCAGTCCCATATACTGAGGGTGTGACGTAACAACTCATATACAGAGATATCAGTCACATACTGAGGGTGTGACGTAACAACTCATAGACAGAGATATCAGTCCCATATACTGAGGGTGTGACGTAACAACTCATAGACAGAGATATCAGTCACATACTGAGGGTGTGACGTAACAACTCATAGACAGAGATATCAGTGGGGCTGTGTCCTCACAGTAACTCATACATAGAGCATATAGTGGGTACATATACTGAGGCTGTGTCCTCATAGTAACTCATACATAGAGCATATAGTGGGTACATATACTGAGGCAGTGTCCTCACAGTAACTCATACATAGAGCATATAGTGGGTACATATACTGAGGCTGTGTCCTCACAGTAACTCATACATAGAGCATATAGTAGGTACATATACTGAGGCTGTGTCCTCACAGTAACTCATACATAGAGCATATAGTGGGTACATATACTGAGGCTGTGTCCTCACAGTAACTCATACATAGAGCATATAGTGGGTACATATACTGAGGCTGTGTCCTTATAGTAACTCATACATAGAGCATATAGTGGGTACATATACTGAGGCTGTGTCCTCACAGTAACTCATACATAGAGCATATAGTGGGTACATATACTGAGGCAGTGTCCTCATAGTAACTCATACACAGAGCATATAGTGTGTACATATACTGAGGCTGTGTCCTCATAGTAACTCATACATAAGATCATATAGGTAGGTACATATACTGGGGGCGAGGTGTGTCCTCATAGTAGCTCATACATAGAGCATATAATTGGGTACATATACTGAGGCTGTGTCCTCATGGTAACTCATACATAGGCATATAGTGGGTACATATGCTGAGGCTTGGGAGTGTCCTCATGGTAGCTCATACATAGAGCATATGAGAGTAGATTTGCATATACTGAGGGCTGTGTCCTCATGGTAACTCATACATGGGGAGCATATAGGGTAAAAGGTGTTACATATACTGGGGGTGAGGGTGTCCTCATAGTAACTTCGTCATTAGAGGCATATAGTGGGTACATACTGAGGGCCGTGTCCTCATGGTAACTCGCACATAGGAGGCATATGGTGGAATTTGCATGTATACTGAGGCTGTGTCCTCATAGTAACTCATACATAGAGCCTATAGTGGGTACATATACTGAGGCTGTGTCCTCACAGTAACTCATACACAGAGCATATAGTGGGTACATATACTGAGGCTGTGTCCTCACAGTAACTCATACATAGAGCATATAGTGGGTACATATACTGAGGCTGTGTCCTCATAGTAACTCATACATAGAGCATATAGTGGGTACATATACTGAGGCTGTGTCCTCATAGTAACTCATACATAGAGCATATAGTGGGTACATATACTGAGGCAGTGTCCTCATAGTAACTCGTACATAGAGCATATAGTGGGTACATATACTGAGGCCGTGTCCTCATAGTAACTCATACATAGAGCATATAGTGGGTACATATACTGAGGCCGTGTCCTCATAGTAACTCATACATAGGGCCTATAGTGGGTACCCTGACCCTATACTGTTCCTTTAAGCTGACTCCTTCCAAACTACTGTGAGGACAGGAAACAAGGCTTCCTGCTGGGGAGGGAGTGGATATATTTATACCAATTTCACAGTTCTATTTCCTGTCCTTTTTGCCTTGAGGGGAGGAGCTAACCCATAAGTAAATACTGCCATGTTTAATCAGGACAGTGCAGTTTTTGTGAAAAAATTCAGAAATACAAACATGAACGGTAACTGTAGCCATGGTTTGTGACTAATTGGCTAAAAAAAAAAAAAAGACCATTTTGAATACCCTTAGTTGTCTACTTTTGCAAATGATATGCCATAATTGGGTTAATTTTTATTTGTGGGCTGCCATACATTCTTAGAGGCAACCTAGGCCCAGCAAATCAATCTGGCAACTGTCAATGTGTAGCATATGATATATTTTATCATGTAACTTTCCAAAACCCCATAAAACCTGTACGGGGGGAGTACTGCTGTGCACAAAAGACTTCGCTGAACACACACACGTGTATTTTATTGCAGTAAAAGCTAACAGTATTACAACATTAAAATTAAAATGTCATACAGAACTGAAAAAATAACATTCCTTAATTTCTCACTCTTTTTGTTAGATTTTATTGAAATTGAATTATGTTTCATATATCAACATTTTGATGTAAAATTAAAGCCCTGCTTCTCCTGAACAGAATGCTATATAATAGGTGTGGGTGCACTTCAGATGAAAGAGGTGAATTACAGCTGAACAGACATTTAGTCAAATTCCAGGTTTTGTTTACTTTTAGTTTTGATCAAAAGGTGTACATTTAACTCCGCCCTTAAGGGGTTAATGACGTATTTTACCATGATATGCTCTTTATTATGTTGCCCACAAATCCAGAAAAGTATGGATTTAAAAAAAAAAAAAGAGGGAAATGCAGCTTAGTATTGAGAAAATATTGAAAAGAAAGAATGAATGTGTTTGTTTTTCAATTAACATATTAAAAATTCCCTGTTTGCAGTGTTTGGTCTGGCTCTGTCTGTGCATTTTATTTCTCAAAATGATTACTTTCTGCTCCATTAAAAAGTAATTCTTCATTCTGCAGTTAGCCATATGTACAACTTCACAGGTACATGCAATGTACTTATGGCATATCACACAGATACAGTTACTGCACATAACATATTACATGGCTGCACGACATGGCTACATATACAATACCACATGACTTTTCTCCTGCAGGGCTACGAAATCTCGGATGCAGAATGTGGCCAACTTGTCTATATTTGCCATGTTCATAATGTACCTACTGACGGCTGTGTTTGGTTATCTGACTTTCTATGGTGAGTCCCACTACGGTGGTAAACTGTGTACCTGTCATGGATGTCATTGTTTTACTGTCCTGTGACACTGATACTCTCTGTCTGTCTCTGTTTGCCAGTGACACAGTTTGTCTCTGTTTCCCAGTGCCACACTCTGTCTCTGCTTCCCAGTGACACAGTTTGTCTGTCAGTTTCCCAGTGCTACACTCTGTCTCTGTTTCCCAGTGGTTGTATCACTGGCAAACAGAGACAGAGTGTATCACTGGGAAACAGAGACAGGGTGTCTCTGTCTCTGTTTCCCAGTGATACACTCTGTCTCTGTTTCCCAGTGATACACTCTGTCTCAGTTTCCCAGTGATACATTCTGTCTCAGTTTCCCAGTGATACATTCTGTCTCAGTTTCCCAGTGATAAACTCTGTCTCTGTTTCCGAGTGATACATTCTGTCTCTGTTTCCCAGTGATACACTCTGTCTCTGTTTCCCAGTGATACATTCTGTTTCTGTTTCCCAGTGACACAGTTTGTCTGTCAGTTTCCCAGTGATACATTCTGTCTCTGTTTCCCAGTGATACACTCTGTCTCTGTTTCCCAGTGATACACTCTGTCTCAGTTTCCCAGTGATACATTCTGTCTCAGTTTTCCAGTGATACATTCTGTCTCAGTTTCCCAGTGATACACTCTGTCTCTGTTTCCCAGTGATACATTCTGTCTCTGTTTCCCAGTGATACACTCTGTCTCTGTTTCCCAGTGATACATTCTGTTTCTGTTTCCCAGTGACACAGTTTGTCTGTCAGTTTCCCAGTGATACATTCTGTCTCTGTTTCCCAGTGATACACTCTGTCTCTGTTTCCCAGTGATACACTCTGTCTCTGTTTCCCAGTGATACATTCTGTCTCTGTTTCCCAGTGACACAGTTTGTCTGTCAGTTTCCCAGTGATACATTCTGTCTCTGTTTCCCAGTGATACACTCTGTCTCTGTTTCCCAGTGATACACTCTGTCTCTGTTTCCCAGTGACACAGTTTGTCTGTCAGTTTCCCAGTGATACACTCTGTCTCTGTTTCCCAGCGATACATTCTGTCTCTGTTTCCCAGTGACACAGTTTGTCTGTCAGTTTCCCAGTGACACGGTTTGTCTCTGTTTCCCAGTGAGTGACCGTTATTCTTTACTATCAGGTAACGTTGAGTCGGAGATGTTACACACCTATATAAAGGTTGATCCCATGGATAAACTGGTGCTGTGTGTACGCCTGGCAGTGCTGGTTGCAGTCACTCTCACTGTTCCGGTTGTGCTTTTCCCAGTAAGTGATAATTTGCATACTACCGGTGTATCCTTCTACCACAAAACCTTTCCTTAAATTCTCATGTCGCTCTTTCTCCAGATTCGAAGAGCAGTTCAGCAACTGCTGTGCCCCGGGCAGGATTTCCGATGGTGGCGTCACATCCTTATTGCCGTGGTTCTGCTGACAGCCGTCAATATTCTGGTCATCTGTGTTTCAAACATCAAGGATATATTTGGCATCATTGGTAATAAGTCCCAACCCCCCTCCCCGCATTTCCATTCTTTCAGTTTGCAGACACTGCACCCAGGCAACTTGCTCTCAATGTTGTGGCCTGGGTGCAGTGTCCCAGTCCTTTTAAACCTGGAATGTAAAACGTCTGTTTGCCATGAAGGGTTAAGTCCACCTCTAGTGGCTGTCGTATGAGCAGCACAGAGGAAAAAGCTAAGTAAAAATCGTTTTGTCAAAATTTCTTGGAATTGTATTCCTTATGCCTTTGTGTTCCTTTAAGGGAGATCTGTCATATTTTAGCATAATTCAATAATTTCTCGATTATTAAACAATTTCATTATTTATTTTACCATATTTGGCCACTTTTTTACTATTATTCTGTTTAGTTCTTTTGGGTTGACATGTGAGATTGTTAATGGGCTGCCTTGTGTGAATTCACTGCTGTAGTTACTAAGACAAAAACAGAAGTGGGCTTAACACTGTGACAGTCATCTGGAAGAAGGGCCTTAAGGTGAAGTAGTCCTTATATCACTTTAGCAATTGCTGCAAAATTACGAAACAACCTAAATATAAAAGCTACCTCAGAGGCGATTCCTTCTTTCATGATTTAGTAGACATTGCTTGCAGTCTTTAGAGGTTAACAATACTTTTCTCTAATCCGTACCCCATGGTGTCTTGGTATGTGCCCCATACACTAATTACGTGTCTCTTCCCACAGGGGCCACATCAGCTCCTAGTCTCATCTTCATCCTGCCTAGTATATTCTACATCCGTATTGTTCCCAATGAGAAGGAGCCGCTGTCATCACGTCCAAAGATCCAGGTGAATCTCCTCCCCCCCGCCCCTCCCTCCAGTTTTTATCCTTCTAACTTCATCCTGAAAAATGTCAATATAACCCCCTTCACCCCATTAATTGCCTTCCCCATACCCTTCACCCCATTAACTGCCTTCCCCATACCCTCCACTGTCTTCCTATTAACTGTCCCCCACCACCTCCTGTTTCCCAATTAACTACCCCCGGCCTTCTTCACCATTCCCCATTAACTGCCTCCCGCACATACTTCTGTTACCCTACTAACTGCCTCCCCCACCTCCTTCTGTCTCCTAATTAGCCGACCTTCCCCACCTATTTCACTGTTACCCCATAAACTGCTTTCCCCACCCCCTTCACTGTCAACCCATTAACCGCCTCCCCAACCACCTTCACTGTCACCCCATTAACTGCCTCCCCCACATCTCCTTCACTGTCACCCCATTAACTGCCTCCCCCACACCACCTTCACTGTCACCCCATTAACTGCCTCCCCCACATCTCCTTCACTGTCACCCCATTAACTGCCTCCCCCACACCCCCTTCACTGTCACCCCATTAACTGCCTTCCCCATACCCTCCACTGTCTTCCTATTAACTGTCCCCCACCACCTCCTGTTTCCCAATTAACTACCCCGACCTCCTTCACCGTTCCCCATTAACTGCCTCCTGCACATCCTTCACTGTTACCCCATTAACTGCCTCCCCCACCTCCTTCACTGTTAAACCATTAACTGCCTCTGTAATCTCCCCCTCTCCTTTTTCATTACAGGCTGCCCTGTTCGCGTCTCTTGGTTTTGTCTTCATGATAATGAGCCTGAGTTTCATCATTGTGGACTGGGTGACGACTGGGAAGAGCAATGTCGGAGGGCACTAACCTACCCCTGCCCCCTTTCTCCCCATGGACACTGACATTAGGAGAGCACTCCTGGGACCTGTGATGTCACAAAGAGTAACCATTGGTTGTGAGACCAGGAGCTGCTCACCGATGGGGAGGGAGGGGCAGAAAGTCAAATACAAGCCATACGTGCCCTCACATCCCGTCCATGTGCTGCAGGAAGTTCTCTGGGGGGCGCAATCATACTACTGGCTGCTTCCTTGTCACCCCAGGGACCACATTTAGCACTATGCAATCAGCCCCCCATAGCTTAGCTCTCTGTTGGGAAGCCAAGCTTGTCCCCTACCCCTGTAAGCCAGCGTTTCATCCAATCACAGTGTAGCTACCTCACCGGCCCCCACCCCATGGGATAAGGGGTTAGGTAACTGCTCTCTACGAGAGGACACTGCAGCAGATTTACTAGTACCATGCTGCACTGTATAGTGATACCAAGTATCTGTACACAACAGAAACCGCTTCATCCTCTATTGTTCCTGGTATAAGGAGTGTAAATCATGGACTGTTTGTTCTGGGAAGCCCTGTCCTTGAGGACCGCTGGGTACTAACTTCTTGCTGAACAGCAGAACCGACTGTTACAGGTCCATGGTCATACTCCACAGAGCTGTATAGTGCAGCTGGTTCCCTGCTTTGGGGAGCCACGTGCCATCTCTATGATCACTGTGAAAAGTCGGATTTCCACACGTTGGGAACTCATTGCGCCCCCTCCTGGGTTACACACTCCAATGCAGTGTGGAGGGAGAAATACTGTATGAAGCCTGGCTCAGCAATACACATTGTAAGCCAGACAGGAAAAGGTTAATAAATTCTGTCATTTTAACCTTCTGTACTGGTCATTATTAACACCGCGTCTAGAAAATGTGTGAAGGTTTCTGTTAACACAAGGAGAAATGTGCTCCGTATCGAGTGCCCAATCCTTGGTTTAAAACCAGCTCCCCCACTGCCAGTAACGACCTACCTCGGTCCTCCGTTAACGATCACAAGTGATCTATAACGACCTACCTCTCTGTCCTCCATTCACCATCATTAGTGATCTATAATGATCTACCTCTCTGTCCTCCATTCACCATCACTAGTGATCTATAATGACCTACCTCTCTGTCCTCCATTCACCATCACTAGTGACCTATAATGACCTACCTCTCTGTCCTCCATTCACCATCACTAGTGATCTATAATGATCTACCTCTCTGTCCTCCATTCACCGTCACTAGTGATCTATAATGATCTACCTCTCTGTCCTCCATTCACCATCACTAGTGATCTATAATGATCTACCTCTCTGTCCTCCATTCACCATCACTAGTGATCTATAATGATCTACCTCTCTGTCCTCCATTCACCATCACTAGTGATCTATAATGACCTACCTCTCTGTCCTCCATTCACCATCACTAGTGATCTATAATGACCTACCTCTCTGTCCTCCATTCACCATCACTAGTGATCTATAATGACCTACCTCTCTGTCCTCCATTCACCATCACTAGTGATCTATAATGACCTACCTCTCTGTCCTCCATTCACCATCACTAGTGATCTATAACGACCTACCTCTCTGTCCTCCATTCACCATCACTAGTGATCTATAATGACCTACCTCTCTGTCCTCCATTCACCATCACTAGTGATCAATAATGACCTACCTCTCTGTCCTCCATTCACCATCACTAGTGATCTATAATGACTACCTCTCTGTCCTCCATTCACCATCACTAGTGATCTATAATGATCTACCTCTCTGTCCTCCATTCACCATCACTAGTGATCTATAATGACCTACCTCTCTGTCCTCCATTCACCATCACTAGTGATCTATAATGACCTACCTCTCTGTCCTCCATTCACCATCACTAGTGATCTATAATGATCTACCTCTCTGTCCTCCATTCACCATCACTAGTGATCTATAATGACCTACCTCTCTGTCCTCCATTCACCATCATTAGTGATCTATAATGATCTACCTCTCTGTCCTCCATTCACCATCACTAGTGATCTATAATGATCCACCTCTGTCTTCCATTCACCATCACTAGTGACCTATAACAACCTACCTCTCTGTCCTCCATTCACCATCATCAGTGATCTATAATGATCTACCTCTCTGTCCTCCATTCACCATCACTAGTGATCTATATTGACCTACCTCTCTGTCCTCCATTCACCATCACTAGTGATCTATAATGACCTACCTCTCTGTCCTCCATTCACCATCACTAGTGATCTATAACGACCTACCTCTCTGTCCTCCATTCACCATCACTAGTGATCTATAATGACCTACCTCTCTGTTCTCCATTCACCATCATCAGTGATCTATAATGATCTACCTCTCTGTCCTCCATTCACCATCACTAGTGATCTATAATGACCTACCTCTCTGTCCTCCACCATCACTAGTGATCTATAATGATCCACCTCTGTCTTCCATTCACCATCACTAGTGACCTATAACGACCTACCTCTCTGTCCTCCATTCACTATCATTAGTGATCCAAATGATCTACCTCTCTGTCCTCCATTCACCATCACTAGTGATCTATAATGACCTACCTCTCTGTCCTCCATTCACCATCACTAGTGATCTATAATGACCTACCTCTCTGTCCTCCATTCACCATCACTAGTGATCTATAATGACCTACCTCTCTGTCCTCCATTCACCATCACTAGTGATCTATAATGACCTACCTCTCTGTCCTCCATTCACCATCATCAGTGATCTATAATGACCTACCTCTCTGTCCTCCATTCACCATCACTAGTGATCTATAATGACCTACCTCTCTGTCCTCCATTCACCATCACTAGTGATCTATAATGATCTACCTCTCTGTCCTCCATTCACCATCACTAGTGATCTATAATGACCTACCTCTCTGTCCTCCATTCACCATCACTAGTGATCTATAATGATCTACCTCTCTGTCCTCCATTCACCATCACTAGTGATCTATAATGACCTACCTTTCTGTCCTCCATTCACCATCATTAGTGATCTATAATGACCTACCTCTCTGTCCTCCATTCACCATCACTAGTGATCTATAATGACCTACCTCTCTGTCCTCCATTCACCATCACTAGTGATCTATAATGATCTACCTCTCTGTCCTCCATTCACCATCACTAGTGATCTATAATGACCTACCTCTCTGTCCTCCATTCACCATCACTAGTGATCAATAATGACCTACCTCTCTGTCCTCCATTCACCATCACTAGTGATCTATAATGATCTACCTCTCTGTCCTCCATTCACCATCACTAGTGAGCTATAATGATCTACCTCTCTGTCCTCCATTCACCATCACTAGTGATCTATAATGACCTACTTCTCTATCCTCCATTCACCATCACTAGTGATCTATAATGACCTACCTCTCTGTCCTCCATTCACCATCACTAGTGATCTATAATGACCTACCTCTCTGTCCCCCATTCACCATCACTAGTGATCTATAATGATCTACCTCTCTGTCCTCCATTCACCATCACTAGTGATCTATAATGACCTACCTCTCTGTCCTCCATTCACCATCACTAGTGATCTATAACAAACTACCTCTCTGTCCTCCATTCACCATCACTAGTGATCTATAATGATCCACCTCTGTCTTCCATTCACCATCACTAGTGACCTATAACGACCTACCTCTCTGTCCTCCATTCACCATCACTAGTGATCTATAACGACCTACCTCTCTGTCCTCCATTCACCATCACTAGTGATCTATAACGACCTACCTCTCTGTCCTCCATTCACCATCACTAGTGATCTATAATGACCTACCTCTCTGTCCTCCATTCACCATCACTAGTGATCTATAACGACCTACCTCTCTGTCCTCCATTCACATAGAAAGTGACGGCAGATAAGTGACGGCCCATCTAGTCTGCCCAATTTTTTAAATACTAAATCATTAGTCCCTGGCCTTATCTTATAGTTAGGATAGCCTTATGCCTATCCCACGCATGCTTAAACTGTTTCACTGTGTTAATATCTACCACTTCAGCTCTAAGGCTATTCAATGCGTCCACTACCAAGCAATTTACACCCTAAATGGTAGTGAATTAGGGATAACCACACATGAGAAGGATTTGGGAATTGTTATAGACAACAAATTAGGCAGCAATATGCAATGTCAATCTGCAGTTGCTAGGGCCAGTAAGATTTTGTCATGTATAAATAGGGGCATAAATTCTCGGGATGAAAATATAATTTTGCCTCTTTAAAAAATCGCTGGTAAGACCACACCTTGAATATGCTGTGCAATTTTGGGCACCTGTTCTAAAGAAGGATATCATGGCACTAGAAAAAGTGCAGAGACAAGCTACAGAATTGATAAAAGGAATGGAGCATTTTAGTTACGAAGAAAGGTTAAAAATGTAAATCACTTTAGTTTGGAAAAACGGCGCTTGAGAGGGGATATGATTACATTATACAAATATATTTGGGGCCAGTACAAACCATTATCTGGAAATCTATTCATAAACAGGGCTATGCATAGGACACGAGGTCACACATTTAGGCTGGAAGAAAGGAGATTTCATCTAAGGCAAAGAAAAGTTTTTTTTACAGTAAGAACAATAAGGATATGGAATTCTCTGCCTGAAGAGGTGGTTTTGTCAGAGTCTATACAGATGTTTAAACTGCAATTAGATAAATACTTGCAAAAAACATAACATACAGGGATATAATTTCTAATTAGTGGGATAATAGCTGCCTGATCCAAGGAGACATCTGACTGCTATTTTGGGGTCAAGAAGGAATTTTTTCCTAGTTTGTTGCAAAATTGGAAGCTCTTCAGACTAGGTTTTTTTGCCTTCTTTTGGATCAACAGCAAAAACAAATGTGAGGAAGGCTGAACTAGCTGTATAACTGTCACATATTCATCTGCACATAAAAATGTGGTTAATGGCATTTACTGTCCTGACTGAAAAAGTTGTGCCAAGCAACATTACTGTCCTGACAGGAAAAGTTGTGCCGAGCAGCAATCAAATCCTCAGGAGGGTTTTTGCTGAGCAGCAATCATGCAAATGGAAACCTGGTAACTGCCTTTGGGGTCAAAGGCCGGTTACAGCCAATCAGATCCACATGAGGGGTATTTAGGTCCAGTTCTCCTCTTGCTCTGTGCCCTGTTGTGGTTTAATGCGTATGGTTATCCAAGAGTGCGTTCCTGATCTTGATTTTCTGGTATTTGACTTTGTTTTGACTTCCCTGATATCTGGTATCCTTGACTTTTGGCTTTCCCTCATCTTTGTGTCTGATTCTGTGTCCCTGACCTCGGCTAGTATTTTGACTATGTTTAGAGATGTTAAGTCTGGCCATTCTAAGGTCCGGTTATACGTTATCCTTAGTCCTTGGTGTGACACAGTACTGCGTGCTGGATCAACTTGTAATCCTGACAATAACTATATATGTAACTATGTAACTTGCCAATTTGCCAATGTCTAATTACCACTTTAATGTTCATCCTTGCTGATTAACTGGGTAACTATGCTGTGACTAGATACCGCTAACCTTCATTGTTATTCGTTATGGAGGTGTAATCCTAACCTTTGCCATAACTAGTTTCTTGTCAATATTTAATTCCCTCTGTCTAGTGATATGACAAACAAAACCTGTTTATCTCAGGACTAGTTACCTATTTACATGGCTAACCTCTCTAGCTTCTGCTACTTAACTAGTTGCTGTGACACCATTATTTGGCTGTTACTATTATTAGTCAAATAAGTTAAAAATCTACCATTTCATTGTCTCTTTCAGCAATACTAGTTATCATTACTATTTGTCTTTCCACTTTACTAGGCACCTGTTTACATCTCTTTTACTAATTATTATCCTATCTTCACCTATTACTAGTTAAATAACTAAATTTTTCCCAAACACTAGTAATCTAAAGCCCATTGTTCTCTTGATTATTGTCCAGCGCTGGTTAAACATCCTGATTACTAGTTATCCCACTACTCATGCAAGGTTGATGTTTGATTGGCCCAGTTAGTAGTTTTCAGTAAGAATATATTCACCAGTTACTACCATATTGTCCCCTATTGCTCAACCCAGCAGAATGATCTATGTTATGCATCCATCTATTATCATCCCCAAGACTAGTTATCTTTGTTATATCCAACTTTACAAATCACTACGTTGGATTCTCCTGTATGTGAAAGTCGTCAGTTCCAATATAGAGTTTGTCATAATTAGCTCTCTACAAGTTCCTCTTGACACTAGCTAGCCTGCTGCTTACCCCCTCCCCCAGCTTGTGGTGAAGCAGTTTCCGTTCAGTTTTTCTGCAGAAGTTCCCCTTTTATATCGTAAGAGAAATCCAGAACTAGGTATGAGCAGAGCAGGGTCCAAGAGCACGTCCCGACTCCAGGACAATGTTCCATCCAAGCTACTCCAACCCCATGAAAACCAGAAGTTGTTCCAGCTACTGGGGAGAAAGTGTCTGGTGAGAGTGGGGGGTACAAAGATGTCTCAGGAACCCTTATATCAGAGTATTTGTATCTCTTTACAGAGCATTGTAATTCACTGCCAGTCCGTAAAAGGAGGTTATTGGAGGGCCCCCACCATGCCTACGTGTTAGTAGAGATGCACAAAGCTGATCTCTCATTAGCCTGTGTGTCAGCGTGACTCCAAACATAATGTAAGCGATGTGTGGCCAGGCCAAGGTGGCATGGGAAAGGGGTGAGAGGATATATTTAAATGGGGGAGCACACAGATAGTTGGGTATGGGGGGGAGATGGTTATGAAACACAGGAGTTCAGGGGAGATGGATTTAGTTGATTAGCAGGGGTTCAAAGTGTTAGAAACACAAGAGGTTGAGTGCAGGGGAGAGGGGTATAGAGGTGCAGGGAGGGTACATTATGTTGGGGAAGCGTGGGAATTTGGGTTCCGGGAAAGGAGTAAATTGAGCACAAACAAAGTTGGGTGGGCCAGAGGTGTATAGAGGTGTGTAAAGGCTAGTGTTTGGGAGTATATGAAGATGGAAAAGGTAGTGGGGTACATAATGTTGTGCAGCGACTATACAAACCAAAGTTAACCAAATAAATACTAGTAAAGTTACCTAAAAAACACTACAGGGGATAATATGATGTGTTAATCTTTCTAAATGTTCTTTTGGAAAATGCCCAGCCTGGACAGACCATTCCAGTCCAAATTCCTATTAATAGTAAAACACAGTCAAATAACCCTTCCAGGATGGAGAATTTTTGACACTTTAAGTGCACCCATACGAAACATATCCCGTTATTTTAAAGGACATGTTTCTTCTGATACCATATATGTATACTAGTTATCATCCTATTATCTAAATAGTTTTGCTCATAATAACTTCTACACAATTAGTGCAAAAAAGGAAATTAATGCTAATCAGATTCAGTTATGTGTAGGATTGCAATGCATTTTTTGGAAGCTTTGGGACAAATATTGCAAGCAGTGAATTTCGGTTTTAAAACTAAACCTTTGCCAAATTAGCCATGCTGGCAATGCAGCTTTAAAAGTGAATCCAATAAGTATATATATTTGTAGGAAGTAGACACATTGCATATTCATCTGTGTTTTCACACAACCAATTAATCACCAAGCCAGAGCTGCTCTATTCCACCACTGGCGACAAGTACAGCAGTACCCCAAATGAAGATCTGTGCCAGCTTTGGGGCGATTAATCACTTCGTATTATAAACGGGCTCTGTTTTGACAAGCATTTGATTAGACACCGGTTTAGAGCGGTTTAGGTGCATCCATTAGGGGAGGGGAAAACGCTTATTAGTGTCACCATAGGGAGTCTGGGGGGGGGGGAGGTACTGCTTGCAAGGGAGAAGCTCATTACATCTGTGGCTAGTGCACTGACGACAGATGTATTTTTTTTGCACAGAATTGATATTAGACATCTAAGCTGCCTAAGTCACGCGTTCAACTTGCCCCTGATACACAAGTGAAGATTACTCTGACTGTGCAGGGTTTTCAATGCCCCACCTATAGAAGGTCCACCTATAGGTCTAAAATTGCTTTTATTATCAGTAATGCTTCAACGTGTGATGTAAGACGCAAAGGGGCTGAGTGTTACGAGGTTCGCTGGTGAACGAGCATACCTTTAGCTGTTCCAGATTGACAGTGCAGAGAAAGGAAAAAGTGCAGAGAGAGTCCTGCAAACAGTCCAACCCTCATGTAACAAAACTGGGGCATTGGAAGCAGATGAGAGATTAGGAGACCCAAGAGGAAGGAGCTCAGAAGTGCCGAGACACACAGACCTTTAAGGTTAAGCGCCACATGGAAGGAAAGAGGTACACTACAAAGAGGGCTCGGAATCCACAGAGAACTGGCTGGTGCACCATGGCTGCAGCAAAATAAATGGAGACTCTTACACAGTGGTTCCCAAACTTTTTGGGTATAAGGCACCCTTAATATTTCAATATTTTTCCAAGGCGCCCCAAGTTAAAATAATTTCCTAAGTTGTATATGTGTACAGCGCAGTGGCATATACTGGGCCCATGTTTGGCAGAAATGCTTGCCATTCAAGCGCAGATACAGAACCTAATCTTGGGAGGGGCACTGACAGATTATGAAACAGTCCAGGCACAAAAAACACTACAGCATGTTGTAGTGGTTATGGTGCCTGTAGTGCCCTCCCAGAGTAAGCAGTCAGAACAGTTTGACAACTTACCTGGGATTTGCCAGGATAGGGGCTGTAGAATTAGATAGGGGCAGTAGTGTCTGATGAATGCAATATGTGTGTGTGTGTGTGTGTGTGGGATGCACACTGTGTGTGAGGGGTTCAATGTGTGCGCGGGGAGCATTGTTTGTGAAGGATGCTGTATGTGTGCGTGTGTATGTGGGGCAGTTTGGGCATGAGGGGTACATTGTGTGTGGGGGCAGGTTGTGTGAGGTGGACAGTGTGTGGGGCAGGTTGTGTTTGAGGGGTACAGTATGTGTGTGAGGTGGACAGTGTGTGGGGGGGCAGGTTGTGTGAGGGGTACAGTATGTGTGTGGGGGAGCAGGTTGTGTGAGGTGGACAGTGTGTGGGGGGCAGTTTGTGTGTATGGGGGGAGGTATTGTTGGTCTGTGGGGGTAGGAGGGCAGATAAATATATACTTTTTTTTATTAAAAAAAATATATAATTATTTTGGCAACACTCCAAGCTCGCGAGAGTAGAACCCAGCGGAGCTGCAGGTTAGAGCTCCCCTGGGTCATCTCTCCCTCCCTCCCTCCCTGACCGCATTACATTGCTAGCGGGCCAGAGAGGGAGATCCTGCAGAGCCGGACAGGGAGAGGGAGGCTCTCCCCTGTGTGCCTGTCACAGTACACAGTTTGGGAACCGCTGCTCTATCATATAACAGCCTAAAAGTATCAAAACCGTGAGTCCAAAAAAACAGGGGGGATTGGGAAGGAAAGAAAACAAAGAGCTTTAACATTGTAATACTGTTCCAGTAATACTTTCCTATATAAAAAAAAATAGGCCTGGTTGGTGCAACAAACATTATTCCTGGATATTCAGGATAGCACTGGTATCTAATAAGCCTCTCACAACTTATTACATGGTTTCACATGCTACGAACATATAAATAAACAAAGCAACTCTGAGCAAAGTAAGATCAAATACTGTTCTTTTTTACTAAAATGTCTTAACTTTTTTTTTTATGTGGTCATAAATACTGTTGGGGACTGTACTTGCTGTATCTCAATTTTGAAACAAAGGATAACCAGAATTAGGAAGGAGAAAGAAGGGGGGAAGAAGGAAGGAAAGGGAAGAGAAAAGTTAAAAAAAAAAATAAACGGAAGAATAAATAGAAGAGAAATTAAGCAAAAAATTAAAAGTAGAGAATAAGAGAGATAACAGGAGAAAATGGCAAAAAAAGGAAATGAAGTCAAACAGATACAAAAAAAAAAAAAAAAAAAAAAAAAAAAAAAAAAAAAAAAAAAAAAAAAAAAAAAAAAAAGTGAGAAAAGGCAAGATACTTGAACAGCAAAAGACAAAACACTGGTGTCAATGTTTTCTCTCCAAAATATAAGAATGATGGAAAAATTGGATAGTTCAGTAAGCCAAGACTCCAATGCATCAGTAATGCAAGACCAAGATCTATAATTAAGACAAACACCCAAACAAGTCCAGCAAATCCTCCACATATCTAAAGTAAATGTACATAAAGATCGGAACTCTCAACTCTTACAAATCAAAGAGGAACTGAAAATAAATTTCCAAAAAGGGCTGGACGCTCAGCTCATACATATAACAGAAGACATAAATTGTTTCAAAGAGATAAAAGAGGATCTGCAGAAAATGAGAGTAAAGGACAAGGACGCTAACGTCAAACTTGGTGGGGGATAACCACCCTCAGCTTGTCAGTTCTTGGGGAAGGGTGAGTTCATCCCTATACACCGAGCGTTGCGGGATGGTCGGCCGCTTGCGTTGGATGTGTTTCTGGAAGGGGAAACCTCGAACCCCTTTGATCACTCTCCGGTATATCCAGTTACAGAACTATGTTCGTACGCTACCACAGAGGGACAAACTACACAGGAGCCTCACGTGGTTAGAGGAGCTATGCATACAGGGTATGGTACTGGAGAAGGCGGTTTTGATACTCTACCAAAATCTTCTAGTGGGGAACAACACTACAAACAACCAGTTCCAAAGGCAATGGGAGGAAGTGATTGGCAAAGCTTTCTCGGCTGGGCAATGGGATAAGGTGCTATTGTGGCAACACAAGAGCTCCATAAGTTTACATTATCAGGAAGTTAATTATAAGATACTATCACTCTGGTACAGGACGCCGGCTGCTCTTCTTCGGATCTTCCCTACTGTACCGCCCACATGCTGGAGATGTCAGGCCGCTAGAGGCACAATGTGGCATATATGGTGGGAGTGTGCAGTCATAGTTTCCTACTGGGACATGGTGAGGGATGAGGTGACTGTTATCCTTGGGGATTCAATTGAGTGCTCAGGGGAACTGGCCTTGCTACACTTGTCTTCCACACCTATCTCGAGTTACAAGAAATCTACATTATGCCATTTGCTTAATGCAGCTAAGGCCCTGATTCCTGTTTTTGGGAAAAAACGGAGATTCCCACTAAGGAAGCCTGGCTGAGAAGGGTGGAGGAGATGCATGCCTCCCTGCTCGGGACGGGTCACAGACATGCCGAGGCCTGGCAATCATGGTTTGTATATATGGCATGTGACTTACAATCCTTGCACGAGCGGATGATGTGGGGGGTGCTCGCCCGTCTGGACGCGGGAACCCCTCTGGCTTTGTTTCTTCTTCCACTTTCTATATTCACATTGTTCTCAGTCTCCGATTTTATTCACATGAACAGAGCAGGAAAGGACTGACAATCCCTCCTAATACTATCAGCCTAATATCAGCCTAATCGGCAAAGGGAAAAATCTGGCAGGTGCTACTGCTGGGGTGTGCTTGGCACAACATGCTCTACTATGTACGTTTTACAACGCATAGTTCCGTACAAAACACGTAGAAGGTTTGTGAACCGGGAATGACATGTTAGCCACTGCGGTTTACTTAATCCTAAGGTTGTGGTGGGGAAACGATCATAGACTGTCCAGGAGGCCACATAATTTTCATAATAACCGTTTTAGGAATGACACTTTGTTGCGATGCATGCGCTGTTTCATATGTTAGTACATATCTCAGATTTTGAATGATTACACACATAGGACATGGGGACCTGTAGGGGACTTTCTCTGCTCCTTTTCTTTTTACTTACTTACCTCTCACTTCTTTCTTCACTGTCCTCTCTCGCAGACCTTACTACATTGACATGGAGGAAGCCTTGTGGAACCACAGGTAGAAATAAATACAAGCTATTATTGGGGAAGGCTCTATAGTTTTACTTAGAATGAAACACGAGTTCCACAGCCCGCAATTATACAACACCCGATAGCACAAATGGAACCGCATAAGCTATAGATCTGTGTAAGATCTACATGTATCTGTGTGGTGGGGCCTGGGTGCCTACAAATCTTTTGTCTCCATATCTATAAAAACTCAATAAAAAAGATTTAAAAAAATAAAAACAAGGATAATGAGACAAACATAAATAACATTGAAAAAGAACTCAAAGAAACTAAAGAACAAATGAATAGACATGTGCATGGGAAACGTGTTCGGCATTCCGAAATTCGGGACTTCGCCACTTCGGAACTTCTATTGCAGCCGCTTGGTAGATAACTCCCTAATTCCCACGGTATTAGGGAGTTATCTACCAAAAGGCTTAAAGACCTAAATTTGTCTTTCAGCCAAATCTACTAATACTAAGTAAAGATTACTTCGTATTAGTAAATTGTGCCCCTACTCGCGAATAGGGGCATCTCTAGTAAACAGTGAGCAGCCAGTGGCTGCTCACTGTTAAAAAAAAAAAAAAAGTGGGGGCCCTAAAATAAAATAATGGGGGGGGAACCTATTGTCCTCCCCCCTGGCCCCCACCCCTAAACGGTGGGTGGGGGCCCTAAATACTAATTAGGGGGGGACCTAATGTCCTCCCCCCTGGCCCCCACCCCTGAGCGGTGGGTGGGGGCCCTAAATTAGCATGAGGGGGGGACCTAATGTCCTCCCCCCTGGCCTCCAGCCCTGAGCGGTGGGTGGGGGCCCTAAATTAGAATGAGGGGGGAGGACATTATGTCCTCACCCCTGGCCCCTGTTATGCTACAAGGGTTTTTGGAATTGGAACTCAACTGCAGCTTGTAGAACTCCTTAATTACAATAGCAATGAAACGGAGAATCTTTCTAAATTAATAAGGATACTGTAGCTTTAAAACAAAGTGGTGATTGCAGGCAATTAGAGAAATAGGCAAAGTCTTAATGATTGCAATAGTTTTTAGTAACAGTGGATTATAGCATATAAGTAACAATTCAATAGGAAGAATCTGCAGGTTATAGCAAGCAAGACACAGTTCATTAATAAGTAAATCCTCAGAGATAAATTGAATAGGATACTTAAGCTTGATGGGAGTTATCTTCCATAGGAATAGTATGCAGTCAGCAGTGAAGATTTTAGCAAGCAAGAAACAATTCAGTTATAACTGAGACTCCAGAGAATAGAATGAAAATTATACTTAAGTTTTATGTGAGTTGTCCTCCAAAAGATCGGAATTAGAGTCCAAGTAATAAATGGTAAACAGTTCGTTTTCATGATCCAATAGAGGATGTAAATCACAATCCTTTTAATAGTTCAAAGGGTTAGGAAGGCTTGCGAGTGAAGCTTGTGTAGCCGGCGTCTGAACACGGAAGTAGGTCCCAAAATCACCAAGCAGTTTGTATCTGGCGCGGTCTCTCTAAATAGCGTAAGAGAGCCGCGTCAGAAGGGGGCGGGGGCGGGGCCGGCTCCGCATACCGGAAACGCTGGACCCGGAACAGATACGGCATGAGAGCCCCCACCCCTGAGCGTCGGGTAGGGGCCCTAAATAAAAAAAATAACCCCCCTCCCGCAGGTGGTTAGGGGTCCCCAAGCCCCTAGTCATCCCCCTACCCCCAAAAATTAACCCCTACCTACCCTCCTCACCCTAAAAATAATGAGGGGGGACCATTTAACTAAGTACCTGTAAAAAAATTTAAATAAACTTACCATTTGATGTTTTCTTTCTTCTAAAATCTTCTTTTTTCAGCCCCAAAAAAGGCCAAATAAAAAGCCATAATAACCGACGCAATTTAAAAAAAAATAAAAAAAAATCCATCTTCACCCGGCGAGGGGTCCGCGCAGACTGAGCTCTGCAGGGTGGGGGACAATAGGTCCCCCCCCCCATTATTTTACATTAGGCCCCCACCCGCCACTCAGGGGTGGGGGCAATAGGTCAATAGGGGACTTTTTAAATTTATTTATTTTTTTATAACAGTGAGCAGTCACAGGCTGCTCACTGTTTAATAGACATGCCCCTACTCGCGGTATAGCGAGTAGGGGCATAATTTATTAATCCGAAGTAATCTTTACTTAGTATTAGTAAATTTGGCTGAAAGACCAATTTAGGTCTTTCATCCTTTTAGTAGATAGCTCCCTAATACCATGGGAATTAGGGAGTTATCTACTTATTCATTCCTGTCATTACATTGACAGGCTAAGTAACTTACATTTTATATGAATGTATGTTACTTGATTGTTGTACGTGTTGCAAATGCTTACAGCTGAATCCTGGCTATGTTTGTATACTTTTTATTTAAAATTGTATACAGTGTAACATTCTTCTTCTTCCACTGGGTAAGTATATTAGTACTCAGGCAATACTGTGCTTCGGAACTTTGGCACTTTGACACTTCGGAACCTTAGCACTTTGACACTTCGGAACTTCGGCACTTCAGCACTTGGGAAATTCGGACATTCGGAAGTACCCGAATGTCCGAATTGCCCGAAATTTGTCTGAATTCATATTCGGACTGAAACGAATTGCACATGTCTACAAATGATGGAATACAAGGATAAACTAGAAATACTGGAAGAAAAACTTAGACTCAGAAGACCGAACTCGCAGGAAAAACCTGAGTATAAGAGGAATACAGGAAAAGATAGGACCAAAACAACTAACAACATACTTACAGGAACTCTTCACAGCCATGGGAATTCAAGAAGCTCAGAATGAAAGCTTTATAGAAAGAGCCCACATTCTCTATAAACAGAGTAACATCCCTAAGGACCATGTGAGAGACATTATAGTGAGGGTTTCAACCTCCTATATTCGGCACAAAATATATAAAGCAACAAGAGACTTTTCTACAGGAGATGAAAGATTCAAAAATTTACTTTTCAAGATCTATCGGTGGAAACTAGAGTGAAAAGGAGAACATACAAGTTTTTTACCGATCTGAAAAAAGGAAATGAAATCCAACTGGGGATACCTGTTCAAATTATTTGTTAAATATAATAAAAACCTCATTTACAATCAACAATTTAAATGAAGCAAAAAATGGGCTGAAACACATTTGAACTCAGCTGCAACTGGAGATCAGTAGAGGAATAATTATGGATATATAGAAATGCAGAGGGATTGGAATTGGTTTTGGGTTGTTTTCCTCACAAATATGTCATTCTCAAAAAGGGCAAGATAGAAGCTGGAAGTAAATGGGGAAAGGGAAAAGGAGGCAAGTCACAGAATAATGCAAATCCAATCCCACTTAAAACACAGAGAAATAGGTTATGAAGTGTTAAAACAAAATATTAAAATAAGGAAAAAATCACAAAACGACATCTTAGATTGAATCACTAATTAAGATCTTCGCAAAAAAATTTTTTCTTCATTAAAGAAAAACTTCCCTTTTTATTGGCCAAAACTGGGGTTAAAATACAGGGAGTGCAGAATTATTAGGCAAGTTGTATTTTTGAGGATTAATTTTATTATTGAACAACAACCATGTTCTCAATGAACCCAAAAAACTCATTAATATCAAAGCTGAATATTTTTGGAAGTAGTTTTTAGTTTGTTTTTAGTTATAGCTATGTTAGGGGGATATCTGTGTGTGCAGGTGACTATTACTGTGCATAATTATTAGGCAACTTAACAAAAAACAAATATATACCCATTTCAATTATTTATTATTACCAGTGAAACCAATATAACATCTCAACATTCACAAATATACATTTCTGACATTCAAAAACAAAACAAAAACAAATCAGTGACCAATATAGCCACCTTTCTTTGCAAGGACACTCAAAAGCCTGCCATCCATGGATTCTGTCAGTGTTTTGATCTGTTCACCATCAACATTGCGTGCAGCAGCAACCACAGCCTCCCAGACACTGTTCAGAGAGGTGTACTGTTTTCCCTCCTTGTAAATCTCACATTTGATGATGGACCACAGGTTCTCAATGGGGTTCAGATCAGGTGAACAAGGAGGCCATGTCATTAGATTTTCTTCTTTTATACCCTTTCTTGCCAGCCACGCTGTGGAGTACTTGGACGCGTGTGATGGAGCATTGTCCTGCATGAAAATCATGTTTTTCTTGAAGGATGCAGACTTCTTCCTGTACCACTGCTTGAAGAAGGTGTCTTCCAGGAACTGGCAGTAGGACTGGGAGTTGAGCTTGACTCCATCCTCAACCCGAAAAGGCCCCACAAGCTCATCTTTGATGATACCAGCCCAAACCAGTACTCCACCTCCACCTTGCTGGCGTCTGAGTCGGACTGGAGCTCTCTGCCCTTTACCAATCCAGCCACGGGCCCATCCATCTGGCCCATCAAGACTCACTCTCATTTCATCAGTCCATAAAACCTTAGAAAAATCAGTCTTGAGATATTTCTTGGCCCAGTCTTGACGTTTCAGCTTGTGTGTCTTGTTCAGTGGTGGTCGTCTTTCAGCCTTTCTTACCTTGGCCATGTCTCTGAGTATTGCACACCTTGTGCTTTTGGGCACTCCAGTGATGTTGCAGCTCTGAAATATGGCCAAACTGGTGGCAAGTGGCATCGTGGCAGCTGCACGCTTGACTTTTCTCAGTTCATGGGCAGTTATTTTGCGCCTTGGTTTTTCCACACGCTTCTTGCGACCCTGTTGACTATTTTGAATGAAACGCTTGATTGTTCGATGATCACGCTTCAGAAGCTTTGCAATTTTAAGAGTGCTGCATCCCTCTGCAAGATATCTCACTATTTTTGACTTTTCTGAGCCTGTCAAGTCCTTCTTTTGACCCATTTTGCCAAAGGAAAGGAAGTTGCCTAATAATTATGCACACCTGATATAGGGTGTTGATGTCATTAGACCACACCCCTTCTCATTACAGAGATGCACATCACCTAATATGCTTAATTGGTAGTAGGCTTTCGAGCCTATACAGCTTGGAGTAAGACAACATGCATAAAGAGGATGATGTGGCCAAAATACTCATTTGCCTAATAATTCTGCACTCCCTGTATCTATGAATAATAATCCCTCCAAAAATAGAAGATATAGCAGATATTAATTATTCAATGCTGATTAAGGACTTAGTCCAGCAACTGAAGGGCCGAAGTAGTTATTTAATTTTAGAATGATACCACTAAAAGCCCCAGAAATATATGCACACATTCCAGTCAATGGTTGAAAAATATATATGGGCAGGAAAAATACCACACATTTCGAGAAAAATATTATATTGCAAGAAAACCCAGGGAGGGATGGGTTTCCTAGAATTGAGGAAATACCAAAAGGCGAGCCTTCAAAATACATCAAATTCAAGTGATAACTTTGAAAAATGACGAATTGTATATATTAGAGAAAGAGTTGACACAAGTAGATGACCTAGTGTCAATACTGTGATATAGAAATTCAGAACTAAGAAATATTCTGCAAGAAGGTAACTCAAAAATAGTAAAACAAATGAGTAGGGAATGTATACAATTTAGAAAGATAAATAAAATAATGATAAATGCTACATATTAGCACCTTTGGAAATATTACAACACAATATGACCAACATGAAACTGCCAACATGCCTCCAAGGAAAAAAATAAGAATTTCAAATCTATTCCAAGCTTCTAAATTTAAAGATATAAATATACTAGAACAAGAGTACGGAGTCACGTCCAAGGAACACATTACTATATTAAGAATTAAATATTACCTAAACTCTCACATATGGAAAACACCAAATAAGATAAAAAGGGGTCAATTTGAAAAAATAATTGACACAAAAACAAATAAAAAGTTAGTGAGAGCCTGGTACGATTTTCTCGAAATAAAAGAAAATGAATTTCCAAAAATAAAAATTTCAGATGCTTCTCCTCTCCGGCAGGAGCTGGCTTCTTCTCTGTTTCTAAAATAAGATGACCTTCTTCCATGTATTTACCATCAAAGATGTGTATCCTTGACCTCTTATTACCGAACTATTTGATAGTCTCCAAGGATCCACTGTCTTCACTAAACTGGATCTAAGAGGAGCATACAGTCTAATTCATATTAAGGAGGGAGACAAGTGGAAGACAGCATTCAACACCCAACATGCCCATGATGATTACACAGTTATGCCCTTTGGGTTATGTAAAGCCCCGGCTGTCTTCCAGGACCTTAAAAATGACATCTTGAGTTATTATTTATATTCCTTTGCCAATGAGTTTATTGATGACATACTGATACACTAACCTGACCTACACAAACAAGTTAGAATCATTTGGCAAATTAAGTGTTTGACCAATCCACTATTCACTTCTTGGGTTACATTATTTTGGCTCAGGGAATTTCAGACAGACCCAATTAAACTCTCTTCTATCCTTGTAAGAGAGAATGATAGGCGCTCACTATAATATTACACACAAGATGGCTGTGGGCTGCAGTAACCAATACAAGGATTCCCAAACCTTGTGGATAGTGAAATATAGAAAAAGGTAGCTCCTCCCTTATCCCTAATTAAACAGGAACTAATTAAATAAAGGTACAAATACCCCCTCCTACCTCCTCCTCCCTCGGTCTTTTTGTTCCTGTCCTATCCCTATAGGACCTATTAGTCTATTACAAGACTACAATTATTTTCTTTTTGGCTTACCTGAGGGTCTTTACCTTCTGTCCCCAAGGGAGTTCAGCCTCTCTTCCTTGGGAAGCTGTAGTACCCGGCCCTGTGCAAAGGTGTCCCCCTGAAGATACCCCTTTAGTGACCGGGGGTTTGCTTGCTGTGACCCTAGGGGTAGCAAGAGACAAAAATGCCAATGAACTCTTTATTCCCTCCAGTGACCAAGAGGTAGCAGGAAGTGGCGAGAACAATATATATATATATATATATATCCTGATAAACATCCTCAGATTTCTCCATAGTGAAGCCCACATGTAGGTATACATATAAATACTTTTTATATATATATTGTATTTGGTATACTTATACTTGTGGGTTCCCCCTCCTGCCTATCATTCATTCATCAATTCAAAAAGGAGAATCTGTCTCGTCCTATCAAAATCCCTCCTCAAGTTTGGAAATCCCTGAGGTGTTGGACACAAGAAGAGTTTCTCTTCAAAGGTTTTCCCCTAGGAAATATCCCTTGGACCATTATTAACACAGATGCCAGCCAATGGGGTTGGGGAGCACACCTTCAGGACAACTATGTTCAAGGGAAATGGTCTTTTCTGGCTTCAGTTATCCCTTCAAATCTCTTAGAGCTTCTTGCAGTTTTCAAGGCTCTGAAGCACTTCCAACAGCTTCTATTCCACAGGTGGGTCAAAATCAGGTCAGACAACTCTACAGTGGTGGCATATATAAACCATCAAGGAGGAACGAGGAGTTGCAGAATTATGAAAATAATGAAACCTCTGATGGCCTGGGCACAATTGAATTTGGAGGGCATCTCTGCAATACATCTCCCAGGAATACAAAACTCAGTAGCCGACTTTCTCAGCAGGGTAAGAGTAGATCCAGGGGAATGGAGTTTATCAAACGACAAATTCCTTCCAGTTGCAAGGAAATGGGGTCTTCCTCAAATAGACCTGATGGCGACAAGCAACAACAGGAAGGTAAAGAATTTCTTCTCTAAAATTCCAGATCCACAAGCCATAGGAAGAGACGCATTAACATGCAATTGGGAATTCAACCTGGCCTACGCATTCCCTCCGAATCCTCTCATCTTTCTGCTGCTAAGGAGACAAGAGAAGGTATCATTGATCCTGATAGCCCCTTTTTGGCCACGCAGGCCTTGATTTCCTCTCCTACTAAGTCTCTGCAAGAAAGACCCATGGCGTCTTCCATTGGTTCCATTCCTACTGCAACAGGGTCCAATCCTTCATCCAAACCCAGCATCCCTTCAGCTGATGGCATGGTACTTGAAAGGGAAGGGCTGAAAAACAAGGGATTTTCTCAAGCTGTAATTGAGACTCTCCTACAAGCAAGGAAGAAGTCCACTTCTTCGACTTATTACAGAATCTGGGATGTATTTTCTTCATGGGTCAGTTCAAGACCTTTGCATATTCTGAATCCATCGACCAAAGATATTTTAGAATTTCTACAATCGGGCCTGGAGAAAGGAGTTACAATACCTTGAAAGTTCATATTTCAGCCCTCTCTGCTTTAATTGATCACAAATGGGCATTGGACTCGGACATAGCAAGATTTATGACAACGGTCTTAAAAATTAAGCCTTCCATTAAACCCATTACAACACCTTGGGATCTTCCTCTGGTCTTTAAAGCTCTTAAAGCAGATCCCTTTGAACCATTAGAATCGATTTCTTGTCATCTCCTCACTATCAAGACTGTTCTGTTGGTGGCCTTAGCCTCTGGGAGAAGGGTGTCAGATCTTCAGGCTGTTTCTGCTGAAGAACCTTTTACTATATTTCATAAAGACAGAGTCATTCTAAGGACAGTTCCAGAATACCGTCCTAAAGTAACTTCGGAGTTCCATGTTAATGAAGAAATAATACTCCCTGCACTGATTCTAGAAAAATCAGACGACAGAGAAGACACTGACTTGAGGGCTATTGACTTAGTGAGATGCCTCAAGATATATGTACAGAGATCATCAGAATGGCGTATTTCTAAAAGGCTTTTTGTTGTTCCTAACGGCTCTTGGAAGGGCCTCCAAGCCTCTAAATCCAGGATCAGTAGATGGATAGTTGCAGCTATTATACAATCATATAAAGCATCTCAAACAAGTATCCCTGAAGGTCTAAAAGCAAAACTACACGTCCTCTTTCCTCATCCTGGGCAGCTGCTGCAAGAGTTTCGGCAGAACTGATTTGCAAAGCGGCCACTTGGTCATCCTCAAATATGTTTATCAGACATTATCATTTAGACGTAAAGGCTGGTCAATACGATGCATTTTGAAAATCTGTTCTTTTCGCATCTAATGATTAATTTTCCTCTTTCAATGTTTGTCACGTTTGGTTATTTGTGCCAATACACTTGCACTTGCAGTATATCTTAATTGTCTGAGTTTTCTTTCCCTCCCTTAGTTATTGCTTGGGTATTACCCATTGTTGTGTTGCCATTGATATGGCCAGGAAAGAGAAAAATGTACTCATACTTACCGTAATTTTCTTTTCCTGGTCATAGGCCATAGCAGCACAAGGATCCCACCCAGGGATATTGCTGTTAACTAGACTGAGGGAGGAGGAGGTAGGAGGGGGTATTTGTACCTTTATTTTAATTAGTTCCTGTCTGATTAGGGATAAGGGAGGAGCTACCCATTGTTGTGCTGCCATGGCCTATGACCAGGAAAAGAAAATTAGAGTAAGTATGAGTACATTTTTCTCTTTCTCAGATCATAGTCCATGTCACCGCTATGAAAGATAACCACATTGATTGGTCTATTGAAGCAAAGCCTTCTTTTAATCTCTTGAAAGCTGCTTTTGCTTATGCTCCAGTTTTGGTTCATCCAGCTTATTCTAGACAATTCATTCAGTGTTGTGGTTCTTTCCCAGGGAGCGACCCCTAGGGCACCTTTTGCATCTTTGGGGTTCCTTTTCTCACAAGTTGAATACAACAGAAAGAAGCTATGATATTGTTATAAAGAAACTTTTAGAGTTAGTGTTAGCTCTTAAAGTATGGCATCAGAATGGAAGGAGGGAGAGTGCGGTGTGTGCAGGGGCAGAAAGTGCGTTGTGTGTGTGGGGGGATGACAGAGAGTGCGTTGTGGGCAGGGGACAGAGAGTGTGGTGTGTGCATGTGGGGGGCCAAGAGTGCAGGGTGTGTGTGTGGGGAAGCAGAGAATGCAGTGTTTGCAGGGGTTAAAAAGAGTGTGAGATGTGTGCAGTGTGGCAGAGAGTGCGTTGTGGGTGGGTGGCAGGGGGGGGCAGAGAGTGCGTTGTGGGTGGGTGGCTGTGGGGGGGCAGAGAGTGCGATGTTTGTGGTGTTTTAGACCAAACAAAGTGTTTGCTTGAATATCTGCCCCTGTCCAGATTTCAAAGTATAAGTGCATGCACGCCGAAGAAATCACACTGACAACAGAATCAGTTAATGAAAGCTTCGAGGAATGTTTACTTAGGGGGTGGCAAGCCCCTTATAAAGGCAGAAATACATCACATGCAAAATATGGGAGGACATGAAATGTACATTCTAATTGGTATTTGTTTAAATGTTTTTATCTTGATGGACTTCCTACAGGGTGTGAGGTCATCAGCATCCTGGGTGCAGCTCCGGATGGAGACGCCATCTTATTACATGAAATTCTTTAGTTGATGGGAGGGGGTGCTCTAGTGGCCATTTTGAGTAGTTAATAAAAGCACAGATGCACATAGTAAATAGAAATTTTACTAGCATTAATTTCTATTCATCACAGTGGGGGGGGGCAGAGAGTGCAGTGTGCAGGGGCAGGTGGCAGAGAGTGCGGTGTGGGCAGTGGCAGCAGAGAGTGCGGTGTGGGCAGTGGCAGCAGAGAGTGCGGTGTGTGGGGAAGAGGCAGAGTGCGGTGTACTTATTATTTTCATCACATTTAAACCTTTCAGGCCCTCTCAACGTCGGTAGCCCAGCTGTACCTGGCCCAGTCCGGTGACCGATGGATAAAGCAGTGCTGTGGAGTCCTGTGCTTTGTGAAAGATAACCCACGCCGTTCTTACTTCATCCGTCTGTATGATCTTACGGTACGTGTCACATTATGGGCACTTCTGAATAAAAACATTGTTTTCCTTTCCAAATGGTGAAAATAGTATCTTCACAAACGTTGGTCAAAACTTCCCAGCTTGGGGTTTTTGGCATATAATCTGGCCTGGGCGGTGTCTGGTTCTGGTACCCTGGCATATGATCTGGCCTGGGTGGTGTCTGGTTCTGGTACCCTGGCATATGATCTGGCCTGGGCGGGGTCTGGTTCTGGTACCCTGGCATATGATCTGGCCTGGGTGGTGTCTGGTTCTGGTACCCTGGCATATGATCTGGCCTGGGCAGGGTCTGGTTCTGATACCCTGGCATATGATCTGGCCTGGTTCTGGTACCCTGGCATATGATCTGGCCTGGGCAGTGTCTGGTTCTGGTATCCTGGAATATGATCTGGCCTGGGCGGTGTTTGGTTCTGGTACCCTGGCATATGATCTGGCCTGGGCAGTGTCTGGTTCTGGTACCCTGGAATATGATCTGGCCTGGGCGGGGTCTGGTTCTGGTACCCTGGAATATGATCTGGCCTGGGTGGTGTCTGGTTCTGGTATCCTGGAATATGATCTGGCCTGGGCGGTGTCTAGTTCTGGTACCCTGGAATATGATCTGGCCTGGGCGGTGTCTGGTTCTGGTACCCTGGAATATGATCTGGCCTGGGCGGTGTCTGGTTCTGGCCTGGGCAGTGTCTGGTTCTGGTATCCTGGAATATGATCTGGCCTGGGCGGTGTCTAGTTCTGGTACCCTGGAATATGATCTGGCCTGGGCGGTGTCTGGTTCTGGTATCCTGGAATATGATCTGGCCTGGGCGGTGTTTGGTTCTGGTACCCTGGAATATGATCTGGCCTGGGCGGGGTCTGGTTCTGGTACCCTGGAATATGATCTGGCCTGGGCGGTGTCTGGTTCTGGCCTGGGCAGTGTCTGGTTCTGGTATCCTGGAATATGATCTGGCCTGGGCGGTGTCTAGTTCTGGTACCCTGGAATATGATCTGGCCTGGGCGGTGTCTGGTTCTGGTATCCTGGAATATGATCTGGCCTGGGCGGTGTTTGGTTCTGGTACCCTGGAATATGATCTGGCCTGGGCGGGGTCTGGTTCTGGTACCCTGGAATATGATCTGGCCTGGGCGGTGTCTGGTTCTGGTACCCTGGCATATGATCTGGCCTGGGCGGTGTCTGGTTCTGGTACCCTGGCATATGATCTGGCCTGGGTGGTGTCTGGTTCTTGTACCCTGGCATATGATCTGGCCTGGGCATTGTCTGAGTCTGGTACACTGCTCAGACTCAGACACTGGGCGGTGTATGGTTCTGGTACCATGGCATATGATTTGGCCTGGGTGGTGTATGTTTCTGGTACCCTGGCATATGATCTGGTGTAGGCGGTGTCTGATTCTGGTACCCTGGCACATGATCTGGCCATGGCAGAGTCTGCTAATGTGGGAATTACAAATAATAGCCCCAAATCGATGTATTAGTAAAAGCTGTTTTTCCTTTCTGTTTCAGGAGGACAGAATCCTGTGGGAGCAGGAGATGTATGAACAACTAAAGTACTCTGCTCCAAGGCCGTATTTCCACACTTTTCCTTCAGATGTGAGTGTCGCAAGTCAGTGCCTGAGAGGGAGCAGTGAGTGTGCTCATTGCCAGGTGTGGGGGGGAGGCGGGGAGCAGTGAGTTTACTCATTGCCAGGTGGGGGGGAGCAGTGGTTTGCTCATTGCCAGGTGGGGGGGGAGCAATGAGTGTGCTCAGTGCCAGGTGGGAGCAATGAGTGTGTTCGGTGCTATGTGGGTGGGAGCAATGAGTGTGCTCGGTGTCTGGTGGGGGGGCGGTGAGCAGTGAGTGTGTTCAGTGCCATGTGGGGGGGAGCAGTGAGTGTGTTCAGTGCCAGGTGGGGGGGGAGCAGTTAGTGTGTTTAATGCCAGGTGGGGGAGCAGTGAGTGTGTTCAGTGCAAGGTGGGGAGCAGTGTGTTCAGTGCCAGGTTGGGGCAGTGAGTGTGTTCAGTGCCAGGGCAGTGAGTGTGCTCAGTGCCAGGAGGGTGGGATTAAGGGTAGCAGTGAGTGTGCTCAATGCCAGTGGGGAGCAAGGAGTGTTCAGTGCAAGGTGGGGGAGTTGTGTCAGTGCCAGGTTGGGGGCAGTGACCCAGCCAGGTAGGCGGCGTGCTCAGCGCCAGGAGGGATTAAGGTGGGAGCAGTGAGTGTGCTCCAATGCCGGTGGGAGCAGAGTGACCAGGTGGGGAGCAATGAGTGAGCGCCAGGTGGGGCAGTGAGTGTGCTCAGTTTGAGGCGGGGAGCAGGAGGTGATCAGTGCCAGCTGGGGAGGGGGGTAGTGGGTGTACTCAGTGCCAGGTGGGGGGCAGTGAGTTTGCTCAGTGCCAGGTGTGGGGGGAGCAGTGAGTGTGCACAGTGCCAGGTGTGGGGGGAGCAGTGATTGTGGTTCAGTGCCAGGTTGGGGGGGAGCAGTAAGTATGCTCAGTACTGAGAGGGGCTAATAGGGGGAGCAGTGAATGTGCACAGGTTGAAGGGAGGAGCAGAGAGTGTGCTCAGTGCCAGGTGGGGGGGAGCGGTGAGTGTGCTCAGTGCCAGGTGTGGGGAGCAGTGATTGGGGTTCAGTGCCAGGTTGAATGGAGGAGCAGAGAGTGTGCTCAGTGCCAGGTGGGGGGGAGCAGTGAGTGTGCTCAGTGCCAGGTGAGGGAACAGTGAGTGTGATCAGTGCCAGGTGTGGGGGGAGCAGTGATTGTGGTTCAGTGCCAGGTGGAGGGGAGCAGTGAGTGTGCTCAGTGCCAGGTGTGGGGGGAGCAGTGAGTGTGCACAGTGCCAGGTGTGGTGGGAGCAGTGATTGTGGTTCAGTGCCAGGTTGGGGGGGAGCAGTAAGTGTGCTCAGTGCTGATAGGGGCTAATGGGGGGAGCAGTGAGTGTGCACAGGTTGAAGGGAGGAGAAGAGAGTGTGCTCAGTGCCAGATGGGGAGGGTAGTGAGTGTGCTCAGTTTGAGGTGGGGGGAGCAGTGATTGTGATCAGTGCCAGGTGGGGGTGGCAGTGAGTGTGCTCAGTTTGAGGTGGGGGGAGCAGTGAGTGTGCTCAGTGCCAGCTGGGAGGGGGGGTAGTGGGTGTACTCAGTGTGGTGGGGCCAGTGAGTTTGCTCAGTGCCATGGAGTGTGCACAGTGCCTGTGTGGGGAGCAGTGATTGTGGTTCAGTGCCAGGTTTGGGGGGAGCAGTGCTGCTCAGTGCCGAGAGGGCCAATGGGGAGCGTTGAGTGTAAGTGCCAGGTGGGGGGGACAGTGGGGTGCCCAGGTTGAGGTGAGGAGCAGTGAGAGTGCCAGCGGGAGGGGGGGGTAGTGGGTGTACTCAGTGCCAGGTGGGGCCAGTGAGTTTGCTCAGTGCTGTGGGGGAGCAGTGAGTGTGCAGTGCCAGGTGGGGGGAGCAGTGATTGTGGTTCAGTGCCAGGTTTGGGGGAGCCGTGCTCAGTGCCGAGGGGCGGGGGGGAGCAGTGAGTGTGCCTGGTTGAGGTGGGGGAGCAGTGAGTGCCTAGTGCCAGCTGGGGAGGGGGGTAGTGGGTGTACTCAGTGCCAGGTGGGGGGCAGTGAGTTTGCTCAGTGCCAAGTGTGGGGGAGCAGTGATTGTGGTTCAGTGCCAGGTTTGGGGGGAGCAGTAAGTGTGCTCAGTGCCGAGAGGGGCGATGGGGGGAGCAGTGAGTGTGCTCAGGTTGAGGTGGGGGGAGCAGTGAGTGTGCTCAGTGCCAGCTGGGGAGGGGGGTAGTGGGTGTACTCAGTGCCAGGTGGGGGGCAGTGAGTTTGCTCAGTGCCAAGTGTGGGGGAGCAGTGATTGTGGTTCAGTGCCAGGTTGGGGGGAGCAGTAAGTGTGTTCAGTGCCGAGAGGGGCTAATGGGGGAGCAGTAAGTGTGCACAGGTTGAAGGGAGGAGCAAAGAGTGTGCTCAGTGCCTGCGGACAGATTGTGACAGTTTGCCTCTCTCAGGAAAGCCAGGCTGCTCTGAATTTTGCTGATGAAGCAGAGGCTGTGAGTTTTCGTGCAGTTGTGGAAGAAAAAATACAGAAGAAACACAGACAAGGTGAAGTAATTAATATTTCAGTTGGCGTAATTAAAAGGTTACTCCAAACACCATAACCACTTCAGTTATTTAAAGTAGTCATGGTGCCTGGAGTCGATATGAAATGCCGCATATGCAGTGATTAATAGCTGGCAGAGGTGTAATTCCACCAGACGGTTAAGGTCAATGGCAGCAAGACCCAAGCCCACGGTGTCATCTGTCCTTCAGAAAGGATTACTCTAACTAAAAGCAGTGTTTTGTTGGTTGGAGTATCCCTGCAATGAATATACTAGCTGCATGTACAGTATATATGTTTTGTTAAGGGTTAGACCTATTCACTAAAGTGAGTAATGTCGGGAATCAAAGAATTTCACATTTAGGCCAAAATGACCAAATTAGAAAAATTAAACTACTTTTTTTTTTTTGTGTGTGTGGCTATTTTGGTCTTAAAGGGACACTGTAGTCACTATAACTATTTCATCTCATTGAAGTAGTTAGTGTCTGGAGTACTCTGGCACGGTCCATCCATTCAGTGTGAAACGAAATTAGAGCAGTTTAACACTAAATAAGGCTTCATGGCAACCCACAGTCCAGTCTCTTCTGGAGGTGTGGCTAAGGCAGAGATTTCATACTTACTTGTAGTCATACCCTACTTACGTCTGTTGGAGCTCTGGTATGCTAAAAGCAGTCAGCTGACACTCTTAACCCCTTCCCGACCAAGGACTTATAATGTACGTCCGACAAAAAATGGTCTTTAAGGACTGCAGACTTACGTGATACCAGGGATCGACCGATTATCGGTCTGGCCGATATTCGGTATTTTCGGCAATATCGGTATCGGCCTATAGAGATACCGATATTGCAGATAATACATACCAGGACCGCCGGACCCATGACAAGCCCGGCGGTCCTGGGGGGCCCGCAGCAAGCTCTTACTTACCTTCCCAGCAGCTCCCTTGAGCTCCCCTGTGTAAATCTTGCGAATCCCGCGGCCGTCAGAGCGTTGCCATGGGTTGCCATGAAGGGAGCTGCTGGTGAGGTAAGTAAGAACTTGCTGCGGGCCTCCTCCACTGCACAGTCCATGCCACGGGACCACCAAGGAATGCCATATTCCCCCTCCGTGGCCAAATAAGAAGCAGGGAGGGGGGGGACTAAATGTTTTTTTTAAATATAAAAAAAAAAATTTTCATAAAAAATGCCCCCCCTCCCCCCAAATTACATACATACAGAAACACACTGTAACGGACCATTTTGCACACAAGGGGTTAAAACCGTTTAGGCAATCGTCCCCTTTCCGAGATGCAGGCACAGCTACTGTAGAACACCAAACTCCCAAACCGCAAATAAGGGAATGCTCTAATCTCCCGAACGGCATACAATATAACACTCCAAACTCACGAACTGGAACCATACGAATCGCTGCTAGCAGACGAATAGGAAAAGCACCCAAGCGGCTTACACTCCTAGCAATCAGTCTCTATCAGGATTCAGTAAATCCCCCCAAAGACGAGACAAGGCTCCGTGTTGCGTGTCAAGCAGTGGTCTGTTTAATGAGGTATTTATGCAGGTCTCCCACCTGGTGGACACTCCCCTAGGGGACCAAATTGGAGACTGTGACAAAGGACAGACAATCATCAATCTAGGACACACAGTCACATTATATTCCCACAGTGCATCCTGGCTTCCTCCCCTCTGCCCTGGAGATAATTGAGAAGTAATTCAATTATCTCCCAGGACAAAGGCAAATCGCCATTATGCACGTGGGGATACTAAAACAAGAATTACTATTAAAATACACTATGTAAGACACATTACAATAAAACTATACATTTAACATATCCCCAGATAGCTCAGGTCTGAGCGCACATTATTAAGCGAATGGTGCTCAGACCACACGAATACAGTTCAATCGCCATGGAGCCAAAGTCTTTACAAAGTCAGTTCTCATACGAATGAGCTCCATGGGATTCCTATCTGGGGTATAATGCACAGGTACAGCTACCGAATACCGGGCCGTTCGTGTACTTCCACCGAACAAAAAGGGAGGTCGGCGGCTTCAGTGGTGTTCGCGCCAAACTGTATCCGTTTTTAGTTCCATGAGTTAGGCGTCGAACACCACTGTGCATTCGCGTATTTAAAATGGCCGCGACCTCGTGTTCGTGATACGAATGGCGGCCACCCAGTATTCGTCAATTAAGCTGCGGTTAACCACAGCTTCTGGGAGGCTAATTGCCGGCACACTCCAGCTCCCAGATGGTCTAGTCTTTCGTGCGGTTGTTCGGTAGATTGAATCTACCGAACACCGGGCAGAAAAGCACGAATAAGTCTTTTCTGCAGGGGAAAAGATGTCTTTTAACATGGGGCCATAGTCCAAAGGCAGCAGTAGAGCAACCAGGGTTCTCCAATGCAATGTGGCGAGATTGCTTTCGTCATGCACACTGCATTATATAAACACACTACACAAACACACACTCTGCATTCATTATATACAAACACTGCATTCACTATACACACACTGCACAAACACACACACTCTGCATTCAGTATATATACACACACACTACACAAACACACTGCATTCACTTTACACACACCACACACTACATTCACTATACACACACTACACAAACACACACACTCTGCATTCATGATATACCCACTACACAAACACTCACTGCATTCACTATACACACTACACAAACACACTCTGCCTTCATTATATACACACACACTACACAAATACACACTGCATCCACTACACATACACACTACACAAACACACACAGCTCCACTGTCTAAACACACTGCATCCACTACATGTGGCATGTACACTGCTCAACAACAAAAAAAGGAACACAAAAATAACACATCCTAGATCTGAATGAATTAAATATTCTTCTGAAATACTTTGTTCTTTACATAGTTAAAAAATGGAAATCAAATTTTTCAACCCATGGAGGTTTGGATTTGGAGTCACACTCAAAATTAAAGTGGAAAAACACACTACAAGCTGATCCAACTTTGATGTAATGTCCTTAAAACAAGTCAAAATGAGGCTCAGTAGTGTGTGTGGCCTCCACGTGCCTGTATGACCTCCCTACAATGCCTGTGCATGCTCCTGATGAGGTGGTGGATGGTCTCCTGAGGGATCTCCTCCCAGACCTGGACTAAAGCATCTGACAACTCCTGGACAGTCTGTGGTGCAACGTGACGTTGGTGGATGGAGCTAGACATGATGTCTCAGATGTGCTCAATTGGATTCAGGTCTGGGGAACGGGCGGGCCAGTCCATAGCATCAATGCCTTCGTCTTGCAGGAACTGCTGACACACTCCAGCCACATAAGGTCTAGCATTGTCTTGCATTAGGAGGAACCCAGGGCCAACCGCACCAGCATATGGTCTCACAAGGGATCTGAGGATCTCATCTCGGTACCTAATGGCAGTCAGGCTACCTCTGGCGAGCACATGGAGGGCTGTGCGGCCCCCCAAAGAAATGCCACCCCACACCATTACTGACTCACTGCCAAACCGGCCATGCTGGAGGATGTTGCAGGCAGCAGAACGTTCTCCACGGCGTCCCCAGACTCTGTCACGTCTGTCACATGTGCTTAGTGTGAACCTGCTTTCATCTGTGAAGAGCACAGGGCGCCAGTGGTGAATTTGCCAATCTTGGTGTTCTCTGGCAAATGCCAAATGTCCTGCACGGTGTTGGGCTGTAAGCACAACCCCCACCAGTGGACGTCGGGCCCCCATACCACCCTTTGAGCAGACACATGCACATTTGTGGCCTGCTGGAGGTCATTTTGCAGGGCTCTGGCAGTGCTCCTCTTGTTCCTCCTTGCACAAAGGCGGAGGTAGCGGTCCTGCTGCTGGGTTGTTGCCCTCCTACGCCCTCCTCCACGTCTCCTGATGTACTGGCCTGTCTCCTGGTAGTGCCTCCATGCTCTGGACACCATCCTGACAGACACAGCAAACGTCCTTGCCACAGCTCGCATTGATGTGCCATCCTGGATGAGCTGCAGTACCTGAGCCACTTGTGTGGGTTGTAGACTCATGCTACCACTAGAGTGAAAGCACTGCCAGCATTTAAAAGTGACCAAAACATCAGCCAGGAAGCACTGGAACTGAGAAGTGGTCTGTGGTCAACACCTGCAGAACCACTCCTTTATTGGGGGTGTCTTGCTAATTGCCTATAATTTCCACCTGTTGTCTATCCCATTTGCACAACATCATGTGAAATTGATTGTCACTCAGTGTTGCTTCCTATGTGGACAGTTTGATTTCACAGAAGTGTGATTGACTTGGAGTTACATTGTGTTGTTTAAGTGTTCCCTTAATTTTTTTGAGCAGTGTACATTTGTGCATTTACCGTTAGAAATAGTTTCGTTTTTCAAAATAGTAAATGTACAGAATATCGATAAGTTATCAGCTATCGGCCCGAAAATTCACAGATTATCGGCTCTAAAAAAATCAATCACGGTCGGGGCTGCCGGAGACCCCAGCAGTCCCCCTGCAGCACCCCGGCCCTCCAGGGTCATGTGATCACCATGATTACATTGCCGCAATAGGAGTCTAGGAGCTGCCAGCAAAGGGACTGTCTGAGCTATCAGACAGTCCCCCAGGCTGCTAAAAAGTAAAAATATAAAATAAATATATTATACATATATATGTATAATATATTATAAAATAATTAAAGCATTTTATAATATATTATACATATATAATGCATATATATGATTTCATTATAAGTGTACTTTGAGATATATACATATATCTTAAAATACACTTATAATGAAATCATATATATATACACATTATATATGCATAATATATTATAAAATGCTTTAATCTTAATATATTATACATATATAGGAAATAAAAGTGTGTGTGTATGCAGTGGTGTATCCTGGTTTTGTGCTGCCCTAGGCAGGACAAAACTCAGGCACCCCCCCGCGCCACCCCCACCCGCGCAACCGCCACCCAACCTTCCCCCCTGCTCCGCCTTCTAAATACACACACACACATTCACTGACAGATACGCATTCACTAGCTAACAGAAACACACAGTCACTAACAGACACACACACTCACAGGCAAACACACACACTCACAGGCAAACACACACACTAACAGACATCCACACTAACAGACATCCACACTAACAGACATCCACACTAACAGACATCCACACTAACACTAACATACATACACTAACATTAACATACACACTAACACTAACAGACACACACACTAACAGACACAAACACTAACATACACTAACATACACACACTAACAGACATCCACACACACACTAACATACACACACTAACACTAACATAAACACTAACATACACACACTAACAGACACACTAACATACACACACTAACAGACACACAATAACAGACATCCACACACACACTAACATACACACACATACATACACACACTAACATACACACTAACAGACTTCCACACACACACTAGTGTTTTTTTTTTTTCTTTAACCCCCCCCAGCCTCCTTACCTTTGGTAATGCTGGGGGGGGTTTCTTCCTCTCCCTGGGGTCCAGTGGCTGCAGCGCTGGGTGGACGGGCGGCGAGGGAGCTCTTCCCCTGAGCGCTCTGCTCAGCTCCCTTGCGCGCCGCCAGCAGAGTGAGGCTGGGAGCCGGAATATGACGTCATCTTCCGGCTCCCGGCCTCACTCTGCTGGCGGCGCGCGAGGGAGCTGAGCAGAGCGCTCAGGGGAAGAACTCCCTCGCCGGCCGCCCGCCCAGCGCTGCAGCCACTGCCGCCCAGCGCCCAGAATGTCTGTTAGCCGTGAGGCTAACAAGACATTTGCCCTGGGCATTTGGGGGGCAGCGTTTTTTGCCGCCCCCTGAAAAATGCTGCCCAAGGCAAATGCCTTGTTTGCCTCGCGGCTAATACGCCCCTGTGTGTATGTATATATATATATATATATATATACACGCATTATGTGTGTGTGTGCGCATATATATGTTGTGGCGGCCTCCCTGATGAGAAGAAGGGGTTCGCCACCAGAGATGTTCTTTTCCCCCTAGTGGGAGGGATGCTATAGAGCAGAGCAGGAACAGGAACAGCTCTTAAAACAGCTAGTGATTAAGCACTCCAAGCAGAAGAAAGAGACTGTTATAGGTTTTTCCCACAAACATTAGACGAGGCTCTATGCTGTGAGATGACTGAGTTAAATGGAGCCACATGCAGCCTTTTATGGCAATCCCCATGCAAGTGGCACTCCCCTCTGGACCTGAGAGTAGACTACAGTAAACACAATTCTACAATGGCATTGGCTCTCAGGTCCAGGATACTCCCATACACAAACAATGGAATCCCTCCTTTGTGCTTGGGAGATAATTGAATAAAGCATTGTAGTCACATAATCCAATTATCCCCAAGCACAGAAAAAAATATACTTTTACACAGTATCCTGAAAGTACTCCCAAAACTCATGGAAACCCCGCAAAAGTGATATCCCCTAATAGCCCCGATCTGGGGGACCAACATTTTCAAAGATCACCCAGATAGGTTCAGGGGTTTGGGATTTCCATGAAAGTCACATTATGACCAACCACACACGAGGCTCCTGCCCAAAAGAGTTCCATGAAATCAGTCTGTGCGGTCAGTCTATTTCGGGAACACATAAAATAGTTAAAATACCGAACGTAATTGTTCGTATGGATACTTGGTTGATGTATCTGGTTCGAGAGTTTGTTTCTACAAAACGCCGCTCTTTTTACATGAATCTAGGCGAATGTAGGAAGGCATGGAAGTACCAGTGGTGTTCTGATTATAATTCCATGCACTCGACGACCACAGCTGTATGTATTCACAGCTAATGGCCGCTGCCACGTGTTCGTATGTTGAATGACGACCACCTAGCCGATCGCCTATTAAGTTGCGGTTACATGTATATCAGGGAGGTTAATAGGCTGCACACTCCACTTGCGGGTGGTCCGACTGTTTATTAGTTTGTTCGGTAGGGGACTAAAATACAGAATAAACGAAAGGGAAGGCAATATCCCGAACCCCCCCACCCGCCCCCCACACACAAACATATATATATATATATATATATATATATATATATATATATATATATATATATAATATAAATTTGAAAAAAATCATTTATAAAAAAAACCACATAAAAATGCTAAATTTGGCCAGCATTTCTGACTAAGTGGCTACTACAAAAGACTGGAAATACCCCATTTGAAATCATGGTATTCCATGATGGGGTTATTTCACATTCCTGGGCTACCATATGGTCTCAAAAGGGAACACAAACCCAGCAAACCAATCTGGCAAACTGAATTGGGCAAGCCCTATATTGACCCTGTAACTTTCCAAAACACCATAAAACCTGTACATGGGGGGCTATTGTTATACTTGGGAGACTTCGCTGAACACAAATATGAGTGTTTAAAACAGTTAAATGTATCACAACAATGAAATCACCAGTAAAAGTGCAGTTTTTGTGTAAAAAAAAAATGCAAAAAAACGAATATGAACGCTAACTTTGGCAAGCGTTTGTGGCTACTACAAAAGACTGGACATACCCCATTTTGAATAGCGTGGTTGTCTACTTTTACAAATTGTATGCCATGATGGAGTTACATTTCATTCTTGGGCTGCTATACGGTCTCAAAGGCAACACAGGGCCAGCAAACCAATCTGGCAAATTTCAATGTGCAAACATGGAAAAGAGGAAAAGTCCTACATCTGACCCCTGTAAGTTTGCAAAAACCCAGAAAACATGTACATTGGGGGTACTGTTGTACTCAGGAGATGTTTGCTTAACACATATTGTGGTGTTCTTTGTCAGTAACACTTAACAGGAACTGAGAATCCATGCCTAAAGTACAATGTGAGAGAAAAATAACAAAAAAATGACTATCCAAAAGTTTGGCAAAGACTAGTGGTAGAATTAGTGCACCTAAAGTGTTAAAATACCACCATTTGAAATACCCTAGGGTGTCTTCTTTTCAAAAATGTATAGTTTGATGGGAGTAAATTACATTGGCCGGCTTCAAAAATGTCCCAAATAGGACATGGGTGCATGATGACCAGCTGTGAAAATTCCAAGTTGGAAAACTGGAATGCACACCCTCCAAATAAGGTATTTTAGCCCCAAGGAACCCGACACACCTGTACATAGGTGGTATCACTGTACTCAGGAGATGTTTCTGAACACATATTGGGGTGTTCTTTGGCAGTAACCCTTAAAGTTCACCATACATGTATTCTTAAATTGCTATGTGTGTCAAAAAAATCACCAATTATTATTATTTTGTTTAATTTGTCATAGATTGGTGGTAAAATGGTTGCATGAATAGAGTCAAAATACCCCAAGTTTAATACCGTGAAGGGTTATTTAGGGATTCCTGACAGATATCAGTGGTAACTTGCGTTAATTTTGAAAAGAAAAATGGTTTGGAAATAGCAAAGTGCTACTTGTACTTATAGCCCTATAACTTGCAAAAAAAAGCTAAGAACATGTTAACATTGGGCATTTCTAAACTCAGGACAAAATTTAGAAACTATTTAGCACGGGGGTTTTTTGGCGGTTGTAGATGCGTAACAAATTTTGGGGGTCAAAGTTAGAAAAACTGTGCTTTTTAAATTTATTTTTTTCATCATATTTTATAATTTTTTTTATAGTAAATGATATGATATGATGAAAATAATGGTATCTTTAGAAAGACCATTTAATGGCGAGAAAAACGGTATATAATATGTGGGGGTTCAGTAAATGAGTAAGAGGAAAATTACAGCTAAACACAAACACCGCAGAAATTTAAGAACAGCCTTGGTCCTTAGCGGTAAGAAAATTGAAAAACGGTTTGGTCACTAAGGGTTTAACCAATCACTGTAGGCCATTGCTGCTCAGGATAATGCTACCTCATTATCCCAAGCAGCACAGAGGGGATAGGCTGCTGAAGACTCTAGTTTACCATTAAAATATATAAACCAAGGGACTACAGATATTATAACCAGTTTATGATTCCCCACAATTCTCACTGTAGTGAAAGCCCTTTAAATTTCCATTGTAACGTTAATATTTCTTTTTTTATGCAGAAAAACGCCAGACTCTGCCCCCTCCTCCTCCTGTGTCAGATGGTAAGCTCAGCTCTCTCTGTTTCACCCTCTCAAATATGGTGGTCAGCCCATACTAACCCGTATTAGGTGGTCAGCCCATCATACCCTATATTGGGTGGTCAGTCCATCCTACCCCGTATCGGGTGGTCAGTCCATCCTACCATGTATTGGGTGGTCAGTCCATCCTACCCGTATCGGGTGGTCAGTCCATCCTACCCCATATCGGGTGGTGAGTTCATCCTAACCCGTATTGGGTGGTCAGCCCATCATACACCGTATAGGTAGGTCAGCCTATCCTACCGTGTATCAGGTGGTCAGCCCATCCTAACCCGTATTGGGTGGTCAGACCATCCTACACATTATAGGTAGGTCAGCCCATCCTACCATGTATCAGGTGGTCAGCTCATCCTAACCCGTATTGGGTGGTCAGTTCATTCTACCCCGTATCTGGTGGTCAGCTCATCCTAACCTGTATTGGATGGTCAGCCCATCCTATGCCCTATAGGTTGGTCAGCCCATCCTACCCTGTATCAGGTGGTCAGCCCATCCTAACCCATATCGGGTGGTCAGCACTTCCTACCCTATATTGGGTGGTTAGCCCATTCTACCCTGTATCGGGTGGTTAGCCCATTCTACCCTGTATCGGGTGGTCACCCCATCCTATCCATGATTGGGTGATCAGCCCTTCCTATCTGGATTAGATGGTAAGTCCACCTTTCCCTGTATTAGATGGTATACCCACGTTCACCAGTAATAGACCTTAAGCTCATATTTCCCTTTATCATAAAGGGATAAAGAGGATAAACAGTCTGTAAGCTGTATAAGACAATAGGGGATATTAATCAAAGTGTCCTGGAAAGTTAAATGTCATCATTATCCATCATGCTTATTAAAGTGATCTGAAAGGTGACTCTTCACATTAAATGCAGCCAGTTTTCACAGAAATTTCAATTTCAGAAGATTGTGAACGTTCTAGTGTTGGGGAATTTCTGTCAGAAAAAGTTGTGAAAATATTCATCAATACATTGTGTCATCTTCAAAAATTACGGTTCAGGTGCAAAAAACAAAAATTGCAACACATGATAAAAATCCAACAGATTTATTAAAAATCCACAAATGTGCCACAAATTTGCTGAAAGTTAGATGGAGAATGAGCGTTGATAAATCGCCCCCCATTAAGTCTGCCCTCCCCAGCACTTTACCTGTATTTGTCTGACAGCTACATTCTGTGTTCAAACAGAAAGGAGGAACACTCTGCCCCTGCCACCTCCACCGGGACAACTGCCAAATGGTAAGACATTAAAACGCCGTGTTTCTGGGATGGGAGATGGGCAGGGATAGAGCACTCATTACAATATAATAAAATATAACACTCTTTCTATAACACATCATACACTCTGGGATTAATGAGCAATGGTTGCAGTGGTACAATGTTTGCATAATGAACGGTTAGAGTGCATTTTATCTTTAGACATGTATTTATTTCCTGATAAAGTAACATACATGAGATGAGAGAGAAATGGACATTGCTCATTTATAAAGCATCAGCACTAAGGACAGGCCGGCTGCGTGTTTCGCCACATACAGATATAAGATGAGCAGCGGATTAGAGAATGTCACTTCTGGGCCAGAATAACCCACCCCCTGCCTGGTACTATGAATAAAAGGATGCAAGATACCAGGATTGCTCTACAAATTATACAATATGTCCAAATGATTTCAGGCCCACCCAGCCCGCAGCCACACAGCCCATCTCTTGGCCTAAACATGGCTGCTGTCAGCATCTCGAACCCAGACATTACATCCTCCAGGTATCGAGCCTTGCCCACTCCCAGCGACAAGGGCAAAAACAAGAAGGGCAAGAAAAAGTTCTCCAAGGCGGATATTGGAGCACCAAGCGGCTTCAAGTAAGGAACCATGGGACTACTCTAAATAGCAATTATTTGTAGCTCTGTTAATATCCAAGGAGCTTCAGCATTGAGGTTCTGCAAACGTCAGGGGAGCTTCGGCATTGGGGTTCTGCTACTGTCAGGGGAATTAGGCATTGGGGGTTCTGCTAATATCAAGGGAGCTTCGGCATTGGGGTTCTGCTAGTATCAAGGGAGCCTCGGCATTGGGGTTCTGCTAATATCAAGGGAGCTTTGGCATTGGGTGTTCTGCTAATATCAGGGGAGCTTCGGCATTGGGTGTTCTGCTAATATCAGGGGAGCTTAGGCATTCAGGTTCTGCTAATGTCAGGGGAGCTTTGGCATCGGGGTTCTGTTAATGTCAGGGAAGCTTCGGCATCGGGGGTTCTGCTAATATCAAGGGAGCTTCAGCATTGGGCTTCTGCTAATATCAGGTGGCTTTTATCATATCAGGGGGCATTGGGGGAAGCTCTAGTAGTAAACTTCAAGTAATATGTGACTACCAGGCTGTGCACTGGGGATCAGTAAGCTGATAAGATGTGGACTCAGGCAGGTATGGTGGGCTTCTACCCTCTATTCTGACATGTTTTCTTCTTTCATGCAGGCACGTCAGCCATGTTGGTTGGGATCCCAATAACGGGTTTGATGTATGTATAGACTCAGACTTCCTCACACCTTCTACTGTGAATGAACGCACACTCACTCTCTAAGTGCACACTCATTGTCTCCCATTTAGATGGACGCTTTGGACCCAGAGTTGCGCAATCTGTTCAGTCGCGCAGGGATCAGTGACGCTCAGCTGGCTGACGCAGAAACCTCTAAACTCATCTATGACTTCATAGAGCAGCAGGGAGGGGTGGAGGCCGTGAAACAGGAAATGAGGAAAAGTGGTAAGAAGTTACTGTCACATCTCTGGAAATTACAGTAAATAAAACTTAGAAAATCACCTGTAGCTTGTTTTAAATAGTTTTAGCCTTTTATGCCAAGTGATGCTCCATTTTATTTTAAAAGGTGTGATCACAATCCACCTCAGTCCAGACAATACTAACTAATGTATGATGAGCATTATGAGGATCAGAGCCAAGGAAAAGGGCCTTAAAATAGGAACACAGTATTATTTAGGGAACATGCTCAGAGTTAAATGATAGCACAGCGCCTTTTCTCTGTTTTACATTTAGCAGGGGTAGAGTTTTGGGAGAAGGGCCTTCATATATCATTGATTGACTTCTATGTGAATCTCTTATTCCAGAACTTCCCCCACCACCTCCATCCCGCAATGCTCCCCTGCCTCCTCCACCAGGGCGGGTTAGAACAGGACCACTGCCACCACCCCCATCTCGTGTCTCTTCTGTTCCACCACCACCTCCACCATCACGAAGTACTCCACCACCACCACCACCTCCGGCGGTGCGTTCTGGAGCTCCACCTCCTCCACCACCACCACCACCACCACCTCCACCACCAGAGTGCCAAATGGATTACTCTGCTCCTCCTCCTCCGCCACCTCCAGAACTTTCAACAAATCAGAGCCAGCAGCCCGCTGCACAGCCCCGAGGCCGAGGTGCCCTACTGGATCAGATTCGACAAGGGATACAGCTTAATAAGGTGAGGGTAGCAGAGATGATAATATGGTGACACAGAAGAAATTAAATAACCTTTCCTCTCAACTGCATAGGTGACAGAAACAGCCGACGTCCCTGCTTCCCCTCAGCCGAGTTCAGAGGGTCTCGTTGGGGCTTTGATGCACGTCATGCAGAAGCGGAGCAAAGTCATTCATTCTTCAGGTAAAACAGAGCAAAGGGAACGCCAACAAGCCAGCAATCCCCTAGACCTTGCTCCAGATACCCTGGCACATTATGAGTTTAGTGCACTTTTCAATTCACGAAGACAAAACAAAATATTTTTTAAAAACACATGGCTCACTAATTTAACCCCTTCACTACTGAGTACTTTTTAAATTAAAATAACACATTTATTTTAAAGCAATGGAAGCATAGCTTGCATTTTTTTTTTCCTTATTCGTTCATCCGCTATAAAAAAAAAATTTGAAATTTTTTTTTTTCGATCGTATACCGTGCCCTTTATCATGCAATATTTCACACGCCTGATATGTAACTATACAAGAAAAAATGCAAGTTTCTCATGTCACATACAATAGGAGTAACCAAATAATACATCATTACAAATGGACAAAAACCTCGCTTAGAGCTACTTGTAAGGAACCTAAAGGCATCACTAGCAGCACAGCTTAATAAAATGGCAACAGAACGTAAAAATAATTTCTACTTGGAGCATAATGCCCACATACAGTAAACACAGATGAAGGGACACTATAGTCATCAGAACAGCTACAGCTTATTGTATTTGTTCTGGTGATAATAATCATTCCCTTCAGGCTTTTTGCAGTAAGCACTGTCTTTTCCGAGAAAATGCAGTGTTTACATTACAGCCTAGGAATACCTCCACTGGCTACTCCTCAGGTGGCTGCTAGAGGTGCTTCCTGGGGCAGTGCTGCACAGTGTGACTGCCATTCAGTGTCTCCACCCTCTGCATGGAGACACTGAACTTTCCTCATAGAGATGCATTGATTCAATGGATCTCTATGAGGAGATTATGATTGGCCAGGGCTCTGTTTGGCTTGTCTCAGCCAATCCTATGGGAAAGCATTGTGATTGTTTCACATAATCACTTCTGATGATGTCAGCCAAGCAGGCTGATTAGGGGCAGAGCCAGCAGCAGCAGACTACAATAAAGGTACGATTTTGCGATATTTAGAGGAGCTAAATGGTGGTTTTAACACTTTAGGGTCAGAAATATGTTTGTGTTCCTGACCCTATAGTGTGCCTTTAAATTAATATACAGAGGCATATTTACTGCTAATCGCACCAATGACAAGCACTGACTTTGCACTCCTTGTCCAAACATCTGACACACATCTTTTAGATAACCTTACCATAAAATCAGCTGTGATGTGTGTGTAGCATGCTGGCAGTATGTAATGTGTGTGTTTTGGTGGATGTATGTAATGAGTGTGCGTGCTGGCCGTATGTAATGTGTGTGGTGCGTGCTGGCCGTATGTAATGTGTCTCTGCTGGCCATATGGAATGTGTGTGGGGCGTGCTGGCCGTATGAAATGTGTGTGAGGCGTGCTGGCCGTATGAAATGTGTGTGGGGTGTGCTGGCCGTATGGAATGTGTCTGTGCTGGCCGTATGGAATGTGTGTGAGGCGTGCTGGCCGTATGAAATGTGTGTGGGGTGTGCTGGCCGTATGGAATGTGTCTGTGCTGGCCGTATGGAATGTGTGTGGTGCGTGCTGGCCATATGGAATGAGTATGTGTGGTGGCCGTATGTAATGTGTGTTGTGTGTGGTGGCCGTATGTAATGTGGGGTGAGCTGACTGTATGTATTTTTTGGTGGTTGTATGTAATGTGTGTGTGGGGTGAGCTGGTTGTATGTGTGTAGTATTTCTTCCATATTCATTCGGTAGATATAACTACCGAACAGAGACCACCCCCTGGCTAGTTAAACTTCAAATAATGCTTCAATTAAACACTCTATCTGTGCGGGCAGCGTTCGTACTACCGAACGCCACGTGGCTGAGAAAACGGCGGCCATCTTTTTTCAGGTGGACAAAGACAGTGGGACTTGGTCGTCGAGTGTCTGGAACTAAAATCGGACACTCGACTTCCCGAACACCGGTCTCAACAAGCGAACGCTGGATCTCTATTCGGTACTTTTGTGCATTCGAATGAGGGGAACAATCGCTTCTAAGAGCCAGGGGAATTATTTTTTTTCCACTTAACTGAATAGACCGGCAAAACCACCCAAACTCCTGGAACTGTTTTGGGCAGCCACCTTGCGGTTAGCCGGTCACAAAGACTTCCACACTTTTTGAGAACCTCTGAACCGATCTGGGTGAAATTTGAATATGTTGGTCACCCAGATCGGGGCTAGCAGGGGACATATTATTTGTGGCGATACCCCATGTCTAAAGGGGTGTTCTGGATATTGGGGAAAATTGTGAATTTTCTCCCTGGAGATAATCAAGTTATTACTTTATCAGACTTGATTATCTCCAGAACTAGGGGAAGCAAATGTATGTTTGTGCTGGGTGTGTTTTACTGTTTTCCTGCAACTGATTGGTTATGCTGTGTCCCTCCCTGTGGGATGTCCCCTTGCATGGGGACTTGCATAAAAGCCTGTGTGTGGTCATTAAAAGCCAATTCTGTTGTACCCTTTTTCTTGACTTCGGCTGATGTTTGGGGATTCGTATGCTTTATTAAGGGAATTATCTTGTAAAGCTATTTGTATTCGTATGGATTTCGTCTATTCGATCTACCGAACGGAGAGCTATACTCACTGATGCTCTGGCAGTTCGGGAGGAAACTACTGAATGAGGATTGGATATACTAGGTTTCCTTACAGTATGTAATATGCGCTGGCTGTATGTAATGAGTGTGTGTGCTGGCCGTATCTAAAGTTTGTGCGTGCGGCCTTATGTAAAGCATGTGGTACGTGGTGGCCGTATGTAATGTGTGTGTGTGCTGACTGTACGTAATGTGTGTGTGGGGTGAGCTGGCTGTATGTAATATGTGTGTTTTTGGTGGATGTATGTAATGTGTGTGTGGGGTGAGCTGGCTGTATTTAATATATGCGCAGTTAGCTGACTGTATCTAAGGTGTGTGTGGTGGCTATGTGTGGTGTGCAATGAGCTGAGTGTATATAAGGTGTGTGTGGTGGCTATCTGTGGTGTGCAATGAGCTGACTGTATGTAAGGTGTGTGTGGTGGCTACGTGTGGTGTGCAGTTAGCTGACTGTATGTAAGGTGTGTGTGTGTGGTGGCTGTGTATGATCATGTTCTGTGTAGCCCCCTCCTACTTGGCTCTCTTCTCCAAACTCTTCAATCGCTCGGTCTCTGTGACTCTGTCCTCTCGTGGTTTTCCTCCTATGTGGCGGAACCAACCTCGCCACTGTGCACTGGAGGAGCCTGCCTGCTGCCTTTTGACTATGGACCAGCATTTAAATACTTTATTTTCCTATGCAGAAAGGTCTATTCATGTATTTCTGCCCTGGCGTTCTGTAGATTCTCGGATTTACTGAATGAACTAATTTAACCCAGATAGCTATGCCATGGAGCCTATTCATGTAATAAAAGACTTTGGCTCCATGGCAATTGAACTGTGTGTGGTCTGATCGCCATTCAGTAATAATGTGCGCTCAGACCTAAGCTATCTGGGGATATGTTGCATGTCTGTATTTTATGTAATAAATGTAACCTTGTATATTTTATTGTATTTTACTGTCTTTTTACTGCCATGTGCTTAATGGAGTTTTGCCTCTGTCCTTGGAGATAATTGGATTACTTCTCAATTATCTCCAGGATAGAAGACTCTGTGGAACTGGTGTTGGGCAGAAAAGCCATGCTTCATTTGGTCACAAAGGACTTCGATCTATCTTTTGAACCAATTTGGATGATTTTGACATATATTTGTATTTGGAGTATGCTGATTGTAAGTTTTATGTGAATGTGATGCATACTTTTAAAGTTATGAATAATGTGGAAAAACTGTATTTCTCTGCCGGTGATAATTACATTACCCATTGTGTTAGGTAATTGTATCACAGGCAGAGGGGAGGATTTTGTGTGGGAGTGTCTGAGTGTATTGTACATGTTTATGGGTTGTTTTCCAAAACCCTGTGGGCAGTACTATGTTTGTGGATTGTGAATAAAAGAGGCTGTATGTGCCAGTACAGGCAGTTCTGCTTGACCTCAAAACTAAGTGTCGTCTCGTTATTGGGGGAATTGGATTGTATGCTGATTGCCAGGAGTGTAAGCTGATTGTATGCTTTTCCTGTTCAGCTGTTTACAGCATTCATATGCTTGAGAGCATTCGTATGCTTCTCCGGTTCGGTGGTTGTGGTGTCTGCTGCAGTGCTTGGTGTCCTCAGGAAGCGCTAGGAGCATCCTTCAACGGAGGTACCCAGTCGGGGTGCCAGGTGATCCGTTACATCCTATCTCTCCCAATGCTCATTCAGTGTCTCTTTTTCTAATGATACCTCCACCCTTCGTCCTGTCTCGGTTGGAGTCCCCTAAGGTTTTGTCCTTGGTCCCCTTCTATTTTCTCTTTATACTGTATCTCTTGGCAAACTTATCACCTTGTTTGGATTCCACTACCACCTGTATGCAGATGACACCCAGATATATCTCTCCTCCCAAGACCTCTCCCCTACTGTCCTGCAATGTGTCACTGCTTGCCTTTCTTCCATCTCTGACTGGATGTCCTCCTGCTTTTTGAAACTCAATCTCTCTAAATCTGAGCTCCTTGTCTTTCCTCCTCCTAATACTGATCCTCCTCATTTGCTCTCTGTTACAAGAACCCTACAAACTGTTGCAGAAGTACTTCTTTTTGTTTCCCAATACCCTGTTCGGTATTCAGACCGTGCGAATACATTCCCCGACCAGTTATAACTATTTATTCGAGTATATAAACGACGGACCACACAGCCCTTGGCGTGTGCCTCTACTTAACCCCGGTCACCTTTGAAAGTACCGAACAGCTGACCACCCCCACGAGCGAAGCATGCCGCTAATTGAGCACCGGGAAGCTGCGGTCTGTGGTTAACCACAAGCATAATTGACTATCTCCGGGTGGCCTCGTTTGTGTAATAATTCACCGAACTAAACTCACGAAAGACTCCCGAACGAGGCTCACCCTCATCCTGGCGTGTGTTCCCAATTAGAACGTTGAATTTGCGGTTAACCGCAAGTTAAGTAACCCCTTTCATGGCGGTCTCTGTTCGGTAAGACAACCAGCCTGTGAGCGAGATTCGCGTAATTGTTAAACGTTACTCGTTCCAGGGGTTTTAGGTCCATGTCCCGCTTGCCATCTATCAACCTAAAAACATGGCCGCCATCTCGTGTTCGGGACAAAAGACACGAATGGACTTTATAACAAGGAACCTAGCCATATCATTCGTGAGTTCTGAACGCTATTCATCCATCGGCTGCGCTCAGAACTGGGCTAAATAATGAAAGGTAGAATGGGAAATATGTCTGTTAAAGTATTAAAGTTATGTAATTTTATACAGGTTTATGTGTTGTAATAAAACATGGGATTTTAGGCGCTTGGAGATAATTACATTGTCCCAACCGTTGGACTCATTATCTCCAAGCTGGGCGGTAACAATTTCAAAGGATACATTGTATTACTATTGGTCAACTGCTCGTATTGTCACTGTATCCCATCAGGTCCAGAGGGGGTTGTCCCTGGACCTTTGCATAAATAGTGATGCCTGTGTGCCATTAAAGCCAGTTTGTTTTACCCTCAACTCGCAGCCTCGATTCGTGTTGTAGGGAACCGGGAATCCTAGCTTTACTATAGCTAGTGGGATATTCTACACTTATAGGTTTCTACTGTTTGAAGCCGTGTTCGACTCCAACTTCGGGAACCAGGACATCCAAGCGATCCAACCTCCTGCTAGACCAGAGGCAATCGTAACACTCTCCGTTCAAGTTAGTGGTACCCACATCAGTCCATCCTTGCAAATGCGCTGTCTTGGCGTTTTACTTGGTTCTGGCCTCACATTTGAGTCTCACATCCAGTCTGTTACGAAGATCTGTAGATTCCACCTTAAAAACATAGCCTGCATCTACCCCTTTCTTACACAAGATACTACTAAGGACCTTGTCCATGCTCTTGTAATCTCTTGCATGGATTATTGTAACCACCTCCTAATTGGTCTTCCCCAAAGCCATATTGCCCCACTACAGTCTCTAATCAATGCTGCCGCCAGACTGATTTTCCTCTCCAGCTGGTCATCTCACACCTCACCCCTCCGTCATTCCTTATATTTGCTTCGTGTATCCCATAGGAGTCAATTCAAAGTACTAATCCATACCTATAAAGCATTGAACAATTCTAGCCACTACTACATCTCTTCACTGATTCATAGGTGTGACCCTTCTTGGCTTCTACGCTCTGCCCATGACTTTCTCCTGTCCGCTGCTTGCACACATATGGCCAGCTCACGCTTGCAGGACTTCTCGTGGGTTGCTCCCTTCTTATGGAATAACGTGACTACCACCAGACTCACCCCTACTCTTCAATCTTTTAAGAAGTGCTTTAAAACCTCTCTTTTCAAGAAAGTTTATGACATCCCAGAGTACCCTCTACCTCACATACCTGTCCCTTGCTCTCTCTTGAAGGGCAGCACTTTACTCTCTCCTCCGGCTCTGCTTCACTCCCACCCTTTTTGATTGCTATCTAATGTCCTATATTGTTTTTTTAGACTGTAAGCTTGTTTGAGCAGGGCCCTCTTCAACCTATCGCTCCTGTAAGTTTGTTGTAATGGTCTTATTTATTATTAAATCTGCCCTTTTTATAAAATTGTAAAGCGCTATGGAATCTGTTGGTGCTATATAAATGCCAATAATAAAAATGTATGGCATGTCCAGCATGGGTAAACTATGCCAGGTGGTCTGGCCGTAGTCCTGAGTAACTGATGCTCCAACCGGGGAGTGTGAAGTTTGCACCACTGGGGGAAGCAGACCTCAGTAATCATTCCTTCACAATTTGGAAAGTCAAAGTAAATGCTGGGAACATCTCTGGTTCACTAAAGAGTGACGTAGCGCAAAGGAGCCATTACTGAGGTCTGAACCCGCAGGAGGTGAAAACCTTACACTGCCAGCTCTGATGTCCAACACCAAGGACGTCATGCCACTTTCCAATGGCAGGGCTAAAATAGTAAAATAAACTGTTGACCTGGCCACTGCTCAGTGGGACCCCCTTCAAGTGATGCCCGGGGCACATGCCATACCCTAGGTACACCACTGATTATATATTACTAAAATAAATGAAAACTGCTATTGCAATCTTTATCAATCTCTGGCCTGCTAATAAAATGCTCAATGGCAGAGTCAATTTACTCCACCCTTTTCCTCACTGTGTGAATAGTATGACCCAATGAAACTTCCTGTACGGTTTGAAAGCAGGAGGTGAGCTGGCATTTTCAGCTTTACTTTCATTACATCATTGACTAGTGGAAAATCATTGACTAGAGAAATATGTTCTTCTACAGGCTGGTAATCATAGCTAGAGTATAAATAATGGCGAGTGAGGCTTTATGGACTAGATTTTATACTGTGTAATGAATTAAAATAATGTTTATACTCTGTTCTGGTATTGATGGGATTAATTACATTTGAGCAAAATTCATAACCACACCACTCACTGGATGTAGGTTTATGTGATGTCCTCGCTTATCCAGTAAAAATGCTTATCCACATCATTCTAGAGTTTGTGGCAACTTAGTGCACAATGTGCCCAGAAGCAGAGCATTGAATAGGGGATCAGTGCACAAACACGACTTACCAAGAATTGTAAACACAAACACCGCAGGCAAAATGGGAGCACAGACATTGCGAAAATACAAAAATACATACCTAGATATACTTCAATGTCTATTGGTAATAACTGGTAAAATAAGAAAAAACCTCCCTCAGTATATATTCTGATAAGAAGCCCTGACATTTTTCCCTAAGATGCAGTTCCCAATAAGAAATAAAATACGTTAAAGTTTGCGTTTTCCTTCCTTCAGATGACGACGACGACGATGGCGGTGAAGATGAGGATGAGGATGAATGGGATGACTGAATTCTTAGCGACACAACCTTCTGTAACCTCCTTCTTCCTGTCAAGAGCGTCATTTGCCATAATGACCCCATTAATCTGTCGAGGTTTCATTGTTCCTTGAAATAAAACTTTTTTTTTTAGAAATGCAATGTAATTAATAAATATATATTTTAACTCGGTAGAGAAATCAAAGAACCAATTGTGCTGGTTTTGTTTTTAAAGCAGGACCGTCACACTTTGTCTCCGCAGATCTCTTGACTACACAGTCAGATGAGAATTATATAAAGATTTGATCCTTATGGTTACAGTGCAGCTTTAAATTAGTCATTTTCTATTTCCTTGTGTTTATTTAATTGAAATTCACCGTTTTTTAGTTATGTATAAGATAACTTATAGGGAGTGTGATCCTTGGCAATTGGTGGACTATAAAGTCACAGCAAAACTATTTTTTATTTGATAAACTTTTCATCGAGCTTTGAAAGGAAATATATTTTTTCAATACACTTCATTTAAAAATCGGAGTAAACTTGTCCATAGGACAGGATTTAACTGACATTTACAGGGATATTCACTCCAGTATGAATTCAAACTAAATTTAAAGTCAAACTAGACAAACTGAAATAATTTTCCAAGTCAGCTCTGCTGCTAGCTCAGCTACTCTGGTCTTTCATTTGAAATTTACTCATTTCTCACTTTAGTAAATAGCCTGTTACTGTCATATTCAAACACTTAAAAGGCTCACATATAAAAAAAAAAAAAAAGGCTCACATTAGTTACAAACATCAACTCTACACACAAAAGTACACCTGCATTTAAATGCCAACACTTCATACAAACACTACATTCAAACACTACATAAAAATACATCCCTACATGTAAACACATGCTCTATACAAAAACATGCTTACATTCGAATGCATAAACACTGCTCACAAATACAACCCTGCAAGAATGGGCAAATTGTAGATAACCAGAGGAGTGTGGGAGTTGTAGGACAGATGGGAATCTAACTTTTTCGCCACTCTAACGTTAGAGAAGGGCCCCCCAAAAAAGTTTCTTGCACCAGGGCCCTCTCTACATTAGTTCCACCACTGAGTTGAGGTGGAGGGTGTGATTGCATGCCAGGGATTGGCAATAGTCACTCAGACATCAAGTCAACCAGACACTGGGGTACTAACAGTCAAGATACAGTCACTCAGACAGGCAGGGAGAGTTTGTTCTGTTCTACAGACAGTCTGTGTCGGGACTGAGAGGGCTTTCAAGGTAATCTGCTTTTCGAAGCAGTGTTTTTCATATACTTCTGGAACAATATATGCATGTATGGTGGTATATCTACTAAACAATTTGAAATGAGAAAGGTAGGTACCTGTAAATAACAAGTAAAAGATCACATAGGTGAGGAATGGATGGGACAAGAAAAACTCGCATACAGAACGCAAAATGCAGACAGTGCTCACAAGGTTCAGCCGGATGCAGATTTTGTAAAACAGCAAGAATTTGACATCCCATCTGGTATCCGTGGGCACAGCTCCCCGCCTCCACTACAGCTCAGCATGACGCTCCTCCTATCTGGGATACGCTGAACGCAGCTCCCCGCCTCCACTACAGCTCAGCATGAAGCTCCTCCTACCTGGGATGCGCTGAATGCAACTGCCCACTTCCACTACAGCTCAGCGTGAAGCTCCTCCTACGTGGGATACGCTGAACGCAGCTCCCCGCTTCTGCTACAGCTCAGCGTGAAGCTCCTCCTACCTGGGATACGCTGAACGCAGCTCCCCGCTTCCACTACAGCTCAGTGTGAAGCTCCTCCTACGTGGGATACGCTGAACGCAGCTCCCCACGTCCACTACAGCTCAGCGTGAAGCTCCTCCTACGTGGGATACGCTGAATGCAGCTACCCGCTTCCACTAGAGCTCAGCGTGAAGCTCCTCCTACCTGGGATACGCAGAACGCAGCTCCCCGCTTCCCCTACAGCCCAGCGTGAAGCTCCTCCTACCTGGGATACACTGAACGCAGCTCCCCGCTTCCACTACAGCTCAGAGTGAAGCTCCTCCTACATGGGATACACTGAACGCAGCTCCACGCCTCCACTATAGCACAGCTTCTCACTGCTCCTCAGGGGCTTCCAATAGTTCAGCAGAGAACAGCTAGTATTAGCGGATGGCTTTCAGCCAAGGACCCAAGCCCTGCACTGCCACTCAGCGAGGAGAGTGTCTGGCAGTCACTGAGCTGTAGCAAAGGCAAGAAGCAACGCTCAATGGAAGTACAAAGTCAAACCAATATAAAACAGTTTGCTTACATAGTTTTGTAGTGGTTATGGTGCTTATAGTATTCCTTTACCATAGAGTAACTAGGTATAGTGTGTATTTGTTGGTGTCACTTTTTATATGAGTGCGTTACCAATTTTATAGCAAGACATGGAGGCTCATATTGCATATCCCTTTCTTTACTGTCCACTAATAGCAGCAAAGGATACAAACAGAATGAGAAAATAATGTATACATAATAACATAGGCCACTCCCCGACCAAGTCCCAGTATAATAATAGGCACCTCCCTAAGACCTTCCTATTTCTTTGCTGCTCCACAGTCAGATAAGCACCTATTGTCTCTGTTATGTGGGTTTTGGGTTTATTTGTGAGTAGATTGCTATTGTGAATTTTTTTGTTGCATGTGTTACAGACTATTGTATTCTGTTGTATGCTGAGGGGTCTCTCTCCTGGGATTTTGGGGTCTATTTCCACCTGTTTTTCCTATTTTCTCTGTTTTGATTTTTCCCTTCTGGTTAATTTCTGCTAAAACCCTTCCCATTCTTTAGCCTATCAGTCTTTACCCCTGTTTTCTGGGCTGTTCCGGGTCCCTGGCACGTTTTTGGCGGCTTTTTTGCGCTACTATTCGCCAATTTCGTGACTTGTGTTCGTCAATTTTTTGCATGAATGCCAGACCCCCTTCTCACATATTGGTTTTGGCCTTGTTCGGTCTGACAACGCTATTTCTCGTTCGCGGAATTGTGTCCGAACGTTGGGCTGTTTTTTTTGTTCCATGGGTGTGTATTGCCATACAGGATGCGTTCAGTGTGCGAACGCGATTCGTTCAGCAAACCAAAGGCGCCCATTCGGTAGTTTTTACCCACGTTTGCTGGGTTTTTCCTCCTGCGATTCTCTCTTGAGGACTACGGTTTTTCTCCTTCTCACTACTTGGCTCTGCCTCATGTATCTGCTGCTGGTCTGGGCCTTGGTGAGATTTCTCCTGTTTTACCCTTCCCAGATAGTTTAGTTTGGGTGATTAACCCTTACTACTCTGTATTCTTTTACAGCAACTTAGGTGTTAGTGCCTATCTAATTTGTCCTCATTATACTGTTGCCTAGTGTGGGTCACTTCACTATGTCTAAGCCTAGGGTGCCTGCTCCCCTACCCTTGGGGAAGTGGGTACTCCACTAATCCTGGGGGAGACCCCCGCTACCACTGGCTCCCCACCCCCGTTAAGGAGCTCCGTGGTTGGATCCAGAAGGCGACTTGCATCGCTGGGAGTGTTAACGCCTCCCTGTCCATGGAACAGCATAAAGCAATTCTGTTGAAAATTGAGCCCAAATTGGCCAATCTTGCACTGAGGCTGGTAAAGGCACAAGGCTTATTATTTGGCGACTCCTTTGTAGAGGACCTGGGACGCTTCGTGGGGGTGTTTACTGCCCTTGATAAGGCCCAATCCTTCATGTTCCAGGGGCGGGTCTCTTCCAGGGCCAACAGATCCAGGGGTCGTCTGGCTGGCCGCAGATATTTCCAATTCTGTGGCTTGGGACGAGGCTGCTTCCAGCACTGCTCCAACTGTCAGGAGGCGAGGACCCAGTCCCCTTTCTTCCCATCACAGGGACAGCCATTGCGGTCAAGAGGTTTCCGTGGAAACTGCACCTCAAGTTTTTTCTCATGTTTGTGTAGGGGGCAGATAACCCCCAGTTTGGTTGTCGATAACCTCAGATGCATGGGTGCATGACACAGCTTGGGGTTTCCAGATAGAACTCGTGGGAATGACTTACAATGTCCCGTCTCCTCGGCCGATCTGCTTCTGCCTCTGGGATCGCCGGTTGATAGATGAGGAATTGTCCGCTCACCTCAGCAAGGAGGCGATCGAGCTGACCCCACTGTACCCCAAAGGATCATAAGCAATATCTTCCTTGTGGAAAAGAAAAGTGGACAGATGTGTCCTGTCATCAACTTACGCCTGCTCAATTCTATGGTGCGCTACCGCAATTTAAGGATGGAGGGCATCCACATTCTAAGGGACCTCCTCCTACTCAGGGTTGGTTGGCAGAACTAGATTTGAAGGACATGTATCTAACGGTTCCTGTGGCTGAACCTTCTTGGGATCTACTTCGATTCCACTGGAAGGACAGAATTTGGTGCTTTACATGTCTTCCATTTGGTCTCTTCTCGGTGCATTGGTGCTTCACAAAGGTGCTATGCCCGTGATGGCCTGGCTACACAGTCTACCTGGACAACATACTACTCATGGCACAAGAGCGCTCCACCCTTATGCAACATCTATAATGACAGTGGATCTACTCTCCCAACTTAGTTTCATCATAAATTGGGAGAAGTCCTGCCTGACCCCATCCAGGAGCATGGAATTTTTGGGGTTTTCTCATGGATTCGGAGGAGTCGTTGAACCTTCTGTCCGCCAAAATTTAGACGATCCGCAAGGAACTTCGCAGGGCATTCCCCAGTCCACAGATCACTCTACGTCATTTAGTACAGCTCATTGGTCTGTTGGCCGCGGCTATCCAGGTGGTGTTCCAGCTCCTCTCCATTGCAGGGCCCTTCAGCGATTGAAGATAGCTCACCTAAGTGAGGGCGCATCTTATGCGGACCGGTTTACCCTGGAAGGCGAAACGAGGGACAAACTGCAATGGTGGATCCTGAACCTGGATCCTGCATGGTATGGCAGGGCTATCTATAGATCGCAACCCGGAATTCACCATAGACTCGGATGCGTGTCTCCACAGCTGGGGTGTCCACTGCGAAAGTGTTTAGATGGGAGGTTGTTGGTTAGACTCCGAGTCTCGGCTCCACATCAATGCATTGGAACTCCTGGCGACATCCTTCGCGATCCGTTGTGTTTCGCAAGAGACCACGCACATGCATTCGCCTCCGCATGGACAACATTTCGGCCGCGAGATACGGCAACCACGTGGGTAGCACTCAGTCGGCGGTCCTTGCCAGGTTGGCAATGGAATTTGGGGAGTTTTGTCTGGCTCGGAACTTGGTGGTCTAGGCGGAATATATACTGTGTGCACAACATCTAGGCAGATAGTTCACGGAATCACAGCGACTGGAAATTGGACGCGGAGGTGTGCTCAGCTGTGTCGTCTCTTTGGGGTCGTTTTGCTATCGACTTATCATGGTTCAACACCCAACTCCCGTGGTTCTCCAGTTGGAGACCGGACCCAACAGCGGAGGCCGTGGACACCTTCCTGCAGGATTGGCATGGGAACCTCCTGTATGCATTCCCCCCATTCTCCATGATTCCTTGCACGCTCCTTCAGATCTGCCGCCATCAGACCGAACGGATCCTCGTTGCCCTCTTTTGGGGGATGCAGTCTAAGTTCCCTCAACTTCTGGAGATGTCAGTGGATTGTCCCAGGCTGTTGCCATCTTACCCGGGTCTACTTTGTGATCCGTGCGGATGTTGTCACCTCTGCTTCTCATGGCGTGGCGGTTTGAGGGGACCCTGGGAGGTCCCGGGAGTTTTGGAGACTACTCGACGATTGTTGGCGGACACATGGGCTCCTGGAACTAGACTATCATAGGCGATCTAAGACTGGCTGGTGCCTGGCTAGGTTTGTGGATCCCGTTTCAGCCCCTGTGACTGCGATTCTGTAATTTCTAACGTCTCTCTTTGAAGGCGGTAGGGCTTACCATATAATCAACCTGTACAGGTCAGCTATATTTTCGACCCATCACGGTTTTGATGGTTGTCCCACAGGCCAACATCCTTTGGTGTGTCGCATCCTACGCCGTTCCCGTCTCTCTTGTCCACCTCGTTATTCCTCTACTTGGGATGTTTCTGTCGTATTGTCTTTTATCAATGCCTGGCCTTCTAATTCAGATCTCTTGTTACGCCAGTTGTTGGCAAAATTGGTTTGCCTTTTTGCCTCATCTCTAGCAAGAGGGTGTCAGATGTATGTGCTTTGGATTTTGATGCCAGGTCCTATACCACAGAGGGTATGACTTTCAATTTTTCCAGGTGTCTATTAAGTTGGTGTCGTATCCAGCATTTTCCTCTGCACCTGCTTTATGCCCGGTGGCTTGCTTATGCAAATATGAGTGTGACGAAACCAACCTCGCCACTGGGCATTGGAGAAGCCTGTTTACCCGCCTCCTGCCTGCTGACTATGGCCCCTGGGAGATCTGGCCCTTTAAATACAGTATTTGGGCATATTGTACTTTATTATGCTGCTGCTGGCCGTTTAAGAACCATCTGGGGACATACTGTGACTTTTGGGAACAATGCCCCTTTAAGACTATGGCCCTTGGAAGATATTGCCCGTTAAAGACTATTTTAGCAGATTGGATTTTAAAAGACTTGCTGCCCCTTTAAATTGTATTGGAGTTCTGCAGCTTTAAATTGGCACTTCAGATGCAGCCGAAGTGCCTGCCATTCGACAAACGAACATGTGGCGGCGGCCATCTTTGTTCATTCGAACGAGGTCAGTGGTATGTGTAGCCAAATCCATGGAACTGAAATCAGCTATACATTTCAACGAACACCGCTGACCCTTACCTTCTCCTACACTCAGTTTTCAGCTGCAGAGACTAAGTCCCGTTCGGCAGTTTGAACTCACTGCTATACTAAGCTAAATGCATGAACAGCCCCGTTCGTGCATTCGAATGGGACTTCGTCATTTTTCTGTGTAAAATAGACCGACCGCACAGCCCAAGTCTATGGAGCTGTTTTGGGCAGGAAAATGTGCTTGCGGTCGGTCATAAAGGACTTCCAGCTAACTTTTTATCTACTGGTTGCATTTGTCTGATTTTTTTAGAGTGTTTATGTTTAAAGTGTGCTGATTAATAATTTGTAATTTATGAAGATTGGACGTATATTTTTAAAGTTATAGTACATATATAAACTATTTTTCCTGATTATGATAATTATGTTAACCCATTGTGTACCATAATTAGATCACAGGCAGAGGGGAGGATTTTGTGTATAATTGCTGGGAGTGTTTTCTGTAATGTACGTGTGTTATTGGTTGTTCTGTAAAACCCTGTGGGGAGTACTAAATTTGTGGACTGGGAATAAAAGAAGCTGTATGTGCCAGCAGTCAGTTCTGCTTGACCTCAAAACGAAGTGTCGTCTCGTTATTGGGGGAATTGGATTGTGTGCTGATTGCCAGGAGTGTAAGCTGATTGTATGCTTTTCCTGTTCGGCTGTTTCCAGTGTTCGTGTGTTTCCTGTTCGCGAGTTGGAGGATTCGTGTAGTTTGCAGTTCGGGAGATTGCAGTAGCTGCCTGTGCATCTGAAAGGGGAATATCGCCTAAACGTTTTTTTAAATTCTTGTGTGCAAAACGGTCCGTTACAATGAGGATCGTACCAGACCCCACCGTATCTACACCCCAACTTTTCTTGTCTTTTCGTCCTCCGTTTGCTCCGATAGGGAGCACTACGTTGTCACACTGGTTGAAGAGGAAGTTGGGCCATGCTGGTATTGACTCTCCTGTTTTTGGCACTCATTCTGTTAGGGGTGCTTCTGCCTCTTCGCTTATGACGTCGGGCGCGCATTTAGAGGATCAACGAGGAAGGCCGAATTTTCAGGAATGTTATTTTCGACCAGTTGCTTGTGTTTGCTGTGATGATTGGTCAGCTTTAAACGTGAAATATGAGCCTCCAAGTCTTGCTATAAAATGACATGATTTTGCTATTACATGATTTTATTAAAGACACTGTGACAAAGTGCCCTTCGCCACTTGTGCCTGGAGAGGACTACTTGCCAGCCTCCTGCCATGTGACTACAACCCCAGGGATGTATTGCCCTTTAAGAACGTATTTAAGCATAATGGATTTTTATTGTGCTGCTGCTGGCCCTTTAACTCCTAGGAAAAGGATCTGTACTTTTAAACTGGCAATTCGGATGCCGCCATTCGAAAACCGAACACGTGGTGGCGGCAGCCATTTTAATTCATTTGAACGTGGTACAAAACGGCATGAACACCACCAAGTTTTACCTTCACTGGAACTAATGCATTCGACAATTTGAATGGTTGTCGTTCGTCAGTTTGAACTGACTTTTACATGGGAAATAAACCGGCCGCACAGCCTAATTCTCTGGAACTCTTTTTGGGCATGAAAACGTGCGTGCATGCGGTCGGTCCAAAAGGACTTCCAGCTAACTTTTTAACTACTGTAATGAATTGTATGATTTTTGGGTATGTTTGTATTTGAAGTATGCGGATTCTGAAAATGCGATGTATACTTTTAAAGTTATGAATATTGAGTAAAAAGTTTTTCCTGCCTGTGATAATGACATTAACCCTGTCGGTGCCGGTCGGTCTCGGTGTTATTAACCCGGTCGGTCTCGGCGTTATTAACCCTGTCGGTGCCGGTCGGTCTCGGCGTTATTAACCCTGTCGGTGCCGGTCGGTCTCGGCGTTATTAACCCGGTCGGTGCCGGTCGGTCTCGGCGTTATTAACCCTGTTGGTGCCGGTCTCGGTGTTATTAACCCGGTCGGTCTCGGTCTTATTAACCCTGTCGGTGCCGGTCGGTCTCGGTGTTATTAACCCGGTCGGTCTCGGTGTTATTAACCCTGTCGGTGCCGGTCGGTCTCGGTGTTATTAACCCGGTCGGTGCCGGTCTCGGTGTTATTAACCCAGTCGGTGCCGGTCGGTCTCGGCGTTATTAACCCTGTTGGTGCCGGTCGGTCTCGGCGTTATTAACCCTGTTGGTGCCGGTCGGTCTCGGTGTTATTAACCCGGTCGGTGCCGGTCGGTCTCGGTGTTATTAACCCGGTCGGTGCCGGTCTCGGTGTTATTAACCCGGTCGGTGCCGGTCTCGGTGTTATTAACCCGGTCGGTGCCGGTCTCGGTGTTATTAACCCGGTCGGTGCCGGTCGGTCTCGGTGTTATTAACCCGGTCGGTGCCGGTCGGTCTCGGTGTTATTAACCCGGTCGGTGCCGGTCTCGGTGTTGTTAAGCCCTTTGTACTGCGCTCCTACCATGTGAGCTCCTGTGTGACACTCGCCTCAGCCGGACAGGAAAAGGCGCCAAGTTCTGTGTCCCGCCCACACGGTGACGTCACCAGGTTCTCAGCGAATGGCCGCTCACATTGATCCGCGCGCCGGGAGATTTCAGCCAACCAGAGAGCAGCCCGATCACAGACCCCGCCCACAGACACGCCCACCGCCCGGGAAACATGGCGGAAAATTCAAAGGGTGAGTGAGCGGCGGAGAGAGAAAGAGACTGACTGACTGAGAGAGAGAGAGACTGACTGACTGAGAGAGAGAGAGACTGACTGACTGAG